TATCAGAAGCTCTTATCAGAGGGGTCTGTCCTTCAGGAAGATCTGGTGTCCAAATTCCTTTCCCGCCTTACCATAAATGTTTGGAACCTCATTGTAAATGTTTAGAACTTTACCATAAATGTTTAGACCCTTACCATAAATGCTTGGCGCCCACCAGTCAAAACCTGTCCCGCCAGCATTTCCAAGTGCCAGTCTGTTCTCCCTGATCTCTCAAATTTTGCGCCAAATCCTGAATCAGGGAGACAGGTCTGAGGACACCCATCCCCTGTCTCCCTGCAGATGGATCTTGCAGAATAAAGCTGATTTCTTTTCCCAAAAGCTGATGCCATAATAATTGGCTTTTGTTTTTTTGAGGAAGACTAGCCCTGAGCTAACTGCTGCCAATCCTCCTCTTTTTTCTGAGGAAGACTGGCCCTGAGCTAACATCTGTGCCCACCTTCCTCTACTTTTTATATGTGGGACGTCTACCACAGCATGGCTTGCCAACCGGTGCCATGTCTGCACCCGGGATCTGAACTGGCGAACCCCCGGCCGCTGAAGCAGAACGTGCGTGCTTAACTGCTGTGCCACCAGGCCGGCCTCCTAGTTGGCTTTTTAAAATGTGCATTGAGCAAGAAAACCCCAATTTTGTGCAGTAACATAAAGACTTGTAAAAGATGAGCAAGAAATTACAACTGAGCTTTTGTATCATCTAAGCCATTCCAGTTGAAATTTACGACCTAATTTATCTTATATTCTGTTACCATAGTGCTTAGCTTAAATGTGTAACTAAAGAAAATTGAATTCCAGTGCAAATATTAGTTTTTATTGTGCCCTGCAGTGCTGCATGGACGATGCGTGTGTGATAAGTCTCACATTTAGAAGATTCCAGGGGCAGTCCTGAGAGTTAAGGTATTATGGCCTCTATTACTGGTTATTAAGATAACATATTTTCTGTAGATGTGTATCATTTTCTTAAAGAAGTAACTGACTTTACAAATGTTCTTCGGCATAAAAGAAACAGGCTTTTCTGGCTGCTTCAGACAGTCTTCAATTTATGTGGGACACATCATTATTTCCTAAAAAAGAAAACATTTATCTTGAAAGTATAAGCTTCAGGCTCAAAGACAAATGCATGCCCCTCAAATATTTTAATGCCTCATTTGGTTTAAAAAATCAATTCCACAGTAAAGTATGCACTTATAATTCTCAAGACCTTATCTTTATTAAAAAAATAACCCAGCTGGCAAACATCTCCGGTCAGCAGCAGGGTACGTGTTTGGTCGGAGAAGATGGGCCTGACCAAGTCTAAAGGCCAACACTCCCCAGCATCCTCTACAAAAGGGCACAAGCCGTTCTGAGTGGTAAGCCTTCATTACACTTGTGGTATTGTGATTTATAATAAGAAATATGTATTTGGTCTTCGTTCACTTTTCCTGCACAAAGCTCCTAAAACGCTTGGAATTTCCTAAGTGTTGAGAGCAATAAAGGTGTCTTTTGTTAGGTTAATGAGGCGAGCTTTGGAAAGCCTCTGGGTAACTTAAGGGTGGGGGCTGGCTGCCAGGGGAACCAATCTTGATTTGTGTCCCACTCCCTGACCTCTGCGGGCGGGGTGGGGGTGGGGGTGGGGGTGTTGAAGCAGCCAATAGCCAATGATTTAATCAATCATGCCCATGTTGTGGAACCACCATAAAAACCCAAAGGTGGCTCGGAGAGCTTCCAGGTTGATGAACCAGAACTCATCCAGGTGCTGGGCCCCAAAATCTATGAGGACAGAAGCTCCTTCCTTTGAGACCTCGCCCTGTGTATCCCTTCATTGGGCTGTTCATTCATATCCTTTAATATCCTCTATAATAAACTGGTAATCTGGTAAGTCAACTGGTTTCCTGAGTTCTGTGAGCTGCTCTAGCAAATTAATCTAAGCTGAGGAGGGGGTTGTGGGGACCTCTGATTTATACAGAAGTACGGGTAGCAACCTGGACTAGAGATTGGCATCTGAAGTGGGGACAGTCTGGTGGGACTGAGCACTTCACCTGCGGGGTCTGACTCTAGCTCCAGGTAGGCAGCGTCAGAATCGAGTAAAATTTATGGGACACCTGGTCAGTGTCCGAAGAGAAGTGAGTTAATTTCTTGGTGGTGTGGAAAAAACCCACACATCCAAATACTTTTAAGTTTTTTTCTATATTGTATACATTTAAGTCTTAGGAAATCTGGGCGTTTATGGGGCAAACAAAACCCAAACATGTTGTGTTTGCCTTACACAATGCTTGCTACTGATTCTGTCTACCTATGGAATCGATCTCAGTTTGAGTGCCTGTTGGCAAGATGAGCTTTCCAGTTAGGCTGATCCCAGCACTATCTCGTGTCCTACACCTGGCACAATTCGCTCATTGCCGCCGTTATAAAAGGAAGAAAACTATTTCTTCCTGCGGTACTCTCAACACTTCTGACACCACACGTGTAGGCTTTTCTCTAACTTTCTCTAACTAAGCTATTCTCTAATTTTTGGCAGACACGGGCTGCGTGTCCCACAATTTAACCCAGTTCTGACACCAACTCCTCGGAGTCCGTGCAGACCCCACAGGTTAAGGGCTCAGTCCCTCAAGATGCTACTCACTTCAGAAGCCAATCTCAAGCCCCAGGTTGTCACTTGTGCTTCTGACCAGCTGGCTATAAATCGAAGGTTCCCATGATCCCCTCCTCAGGTTTGATAATTTGTGAACTCACAGAACTCAGGAAAGTGCTTTACTGACAATTACAGGTTTATTACAAAAGCTACAACTCAGGAGCAGCCAAACGGAAAAGATGCACAGGGGCAAAGTATGTGGGAAGGGGCACAGAGCTACCACACCCTCTCTGGGCACTCCCCCTTCCAGCACCAACCCAGAGGTTCTCTGAACCCCGCTGCTCAGGGTTTTCATGGTGGAATATGCCATATACAGATGATCCTTAGATCGCGCTGTTCTTTAAAAGGAGCTAGACGGAATTCGGCATAAGAAAACACTGCTACAGCACTTGAGGGCTGCTGCCTTCCTAAACTTCTCTGTGACCATCACCAGAACACCTTCTTTGTCAGAAGCATCGTTGCTTATCATATTTCTTAGCTTACCCCTATAAAAATGTTAAATTCCTACTATTTTAGATTCTCTTCTGTTTATATTATCTTTAGTTTTAATTCTTGGTTTACAAAGTGTGTTAATTTTTCTCAGCTAGCTCCTTTTGATCATTTCAACATGTTTATCTACTTGTTTCAAACTTTTATCTTTCCTGTTTTAATTGTTTAAATGTTTTTCTCAGGTAAAATTCTTTTTAACCTTATCATTCTTGTCTTATTTTCTTCCTCTTTTTCTTTTAAATATATTGATAATTTTTGTCCCTTTGATGTTATAGTTTTCTAATTTTATCTTTTATCTTCTTTTTATATCCTTGGTTTATAAATAGCAAACAAGAAATCTAGTAATGGAGACAGATTCATAAAGTTTTGCTGATGAATTGGTCACAGATGGAGAGGGAAAGAAAGGAATTAGTGTTGAAACCCAGCATTTTAGCCCCAGCAAATGGGTGAAAAAGGGTGTGATTTACTAAGGTGGAAAAACTGAGAGAGGAATATGATGGAAGAGAAAAATTTAAGAGTTTCTTCTCTATCACCACCACCACATAATAAAAGAGAGAGCATTTTAACACTAAAAAGAAAGACATAAGTGCAGATATTTTTAAATGGATACTTTTAGTTTTCTGAAAAATTCACTAGATAGTCTATTTTTTCTTTCTCATTTTGCTGTGATTGCTGAAAACTTCTGGCATTTGGGAATACCTGCTGTCCATAATGGAAAGTTTTATATTTCGGGAAAGCTCACTGTGGTCCCATACAGGGAAGATACTGAAAAAGGCTGAAGACAGAAAGCTCCATTAGAATGGAAGCTGTGGAGGTCGATTACAACCTGGATGAAGTAAGGAAGAAGGATCTACAAATATGTTGACAGGGAAGCTAGTGGTTGAGGAAGTTTTGTGTGGCGTCAGTAACGTAGATCAAGGAAGCCTGCTGAGTGTGAAGCGGTGGAGCCGTGTTTTTTGAAAAGTGATTAATGAGTTAAATATGGTATCTAGTTGTCTTAATAGACATACACAATTTTCTGAGCTTCAGAGGACTGTCCAGACCACATGTTGTCCTTACTTAGTATTATGTTTGATTTAGCGTGGCTCTGGAGAGCGCACCACTCTAAAGATTTAGTTGAAACAAAAGTAATAAAATAGCAGTAATTTGTAAATGTACTAGACACATCTTAAATACATCTTCATCAATGAGGCCATTACTTCCTTAAAAGCAAAAGTGCCTTCTTTTTCGTACAAAGGTAGCCCGTTATTTCGTTGAAAGGAGCCCACGCCCTGGAGACCAGCACTGCCAGTCTCCCACCCTCAGCTTCCTCACCTGCAAAATGGGGCAATGACGTGCAGGTCATAGGATTTCTGAGGCTATTCAATGAAATAGGAGGTGCGTAAAGAAGAAGTGACTTTACACGTGTTGGCTAACCCTATCTTCCTCTCCTTCCTGCTCCAGTGCCCAGGGCTGGTGCATACAGAGGGAACGACCCATGGCCTCGTTCAACGAACGACTGCAAGACGCGGGACTAAAAGAGCTTCTTATTTTGGTACTTATTTCCAAGTTCCAACATTGGACCGCATAACTCCAGCACCCGTAAAGTGGATGGTCAATAAGCTTTTCTTAACTAAAAAAAAAAAACCACACCCTCTAAACTACAAATCCCTGCGGCCTTCTGGAAGCGGACAAGTTGAGCCGGGGCCGGAAATCCGGAAGTCGGGCCGCTCTGCCAATCACGTCGGGAAGCCTACGACGCGGCGCCGGGCCGGCCAATCCCGGGGAAGCTGCCCCGCGCCGCGCGGCGCCGAGCCCGCCTCCGCGCGGACGCTGACGCGGCGTTAGAAGCAGGGCGGCCGTGGGGCGGGGCAGAGGCCTGCTCTCGGCTGCGCGCCCGCTGCGGCCTCCCGCTCCCTCTTTGGCCCGGGCTCCGACCCACGATGGCTCCCAAAGGCGGCTCGAAACAGCAGTCCGAGGAGGACCTGCTCCTGCAGGATTTCAGCCGCAACCTCTCGGCCAAGTCCTCCGCGCTCTTCTTCGGGAACGCCTTCATCGTGTCCGCCATCCCCATCTGTGAGCGCCGGGCGGGCGGGCCTCGGAGGGCCTGAGGCCGGGGCCGGTTCTCGCTCTCCCCGCGCTCGGCGGCGCGGCGCTGCAGGCTCCGTGCTCTCGTCGGGGGGCAGGACGCGGGGCGCAGGGTGGCGGGGCGCCGGGGTGCAGGGGCGGGGCGCGCAGGGTGGCGGGGCGCGGGGGCGCTGGGGAGCAGGGCGCGGCCTCCCGACGGGTCCCCGAGGCCCTCTGGACGGCGCGCAGCCCCGGGCCCGGAGGCGGCCCGAGCCTGGGTTCAGACGCCCCGGGATGAGAGCTCGTGCCGGCACCGTGCGAGGAGCCTGTAGGCTGCTCTCCGTCGGCACCACTGTCGTTCCGAGATTTTGAGCTTTATCGTGGCTCGTTTCGGAGAAACTAACGAATTAGCCGAGAGAAGGTTCGCATTGCCGCGCGCACTGAATGAGGAGTGGAGCGTCGGGCGACCGCTTCACCCTGCTGAGCGTCCTTTTCCTAATCTGATGAGAGGGGTTGGGCCAGCGATCTCCCTTCTTTCAACTTTTCATGTTCTTGTTAGGTCTATTCTCGAATTCTCACTTGGGTGGGAACACTGCAGAATTGGCCAAGGTTGTGTTTAGACCTGGAGGTTCCCGAATTTGCGTCTCCTGTCTCCCCCCGCGCTGCGTCGGGCGGCCGAGTCCAGCTTTAATCCCCTTCGGCCTTATCCCCGCGGCGTGGAGCCCGTGGCCGCCCGCCCGCCGTGGGGTGGCCGCCACGTCAGCGGGTGACCCGTGGCTCGGGCGGCGCTGCGCGCGGGGTGGGACGGCCTGTGTTGAGCCTGATAGTACCGCGATGAACAAAATTTGGTCTGCATCGTGACTTTGTTGAGCCAGAGTTTATAATTTTAGAAGAAGCAGAAATCTCTTCTGGACTAGTAATAGGAAGGTCATGTGTTTCAAGGGTTCTCTACTGAGAAGACCTGACACTAACTCTTCCCTGGCTGTCCCACGTGCGGAGCTCCTCATTCATTGCATTGGGTTCCCTAGCTCGGGCCGTATTTTGCCGGGTTTAGCTATGATTAATTCAGCAGGCCTTTGTAACCGGGTTGTAACATTTTGTTCCTTTTGTACCCCTCGCCCCTTTTATCTTAATTCAGGGTTATATTGGCGAATATGGCACATGGATCTCGTTCAGTCTGCTGTTCTGTATAGTGTGATGACCCTCGTAAGCACTTACTTGGTAGCCTTTGCCTACAAAAATGTGAAATTTGTTCTTAAGCACAAGTAAGTATATTTCTCAAGTGAAAGTATGTTACATGTTGCATTTTTATATTGTACAATATCTTAAAGACCGTTTGTGTGTGTATTGATTTCAGTAAGCATTAATTTGGGAGAGATGTATCTGTATTTTTGGGAGAAGGCACATTGATGCTGTGAAGAATTATGAACTCACTGAAGCAGAGACGGTGCTTCTGACAGTGCTGTGAAGATAGGTTTTGAAGGTGGACTGGAGCGGTTAAGCACTAAGCTTTATCAGAAAACAAACCCACCAAGGAGACTAACATTTCAGAAGCCAAATGCAATTCTTTCAGGAGAGAATTGTTCTGTGGGTCGCCGTGTATCATTTTTGAATGGGAAAGATGTGTTCTGTTTTTATTTTTTATTGAACTCTGATATTTTTAATGCTAATTACATTTTTCTTATAAATGTATGAAAATGTAAAAGATTACCATATTTCTTTTAAGATCATACATGTTATAAATTATATCATTATTTTAACGGTAGCTTTTGGAGAAGAAAAGCCAAGCCTTACAATGATAAATTTATACATTAATTGTAAGCACTGATATGCTCTGGTTTCATAAAGGTTGAAATGTTGGGGGAATGATCTAGACTTAGGCAAAGATGGTGACGTTTGCTATTTGCAAGTGCTGTGGTCCTCGAGGGCAGCAGGTGTAAGCTGGTGCTTAATTGGACACAGAGAAGGAGCCCTTCGGGGCTGCTTTCACACTTGAGTCAGGAGAGCGGGATATTTCTCCCCGTCCTCACTGGAGCCGTCTCGGTGCTATACTTCTTTGGAAGTACGTTCTTAAAGGCTCTTGGAATTTTACTGAGACTCAAAGTAGCATGCTTACTTCACAACTCACCATGGCCTTTTCTTTTCTAAGTGTATTAAAGCCAAATTCTCCCAAGGTTCTGGAGTGCAAGTCGTCTGCCGCCTCCCAGTCTGGCCTCATCCTTCAGAGCTGGGCCTTAGCTCTCCTGACTCAGCCTTTGTACCTGACTTGTGCCCTCCCTCATTTAGGATCGGCTCCCTTCCTTTCCCATTCTGACATGTCTGTTATGTTAAGACTTAGGGATCTTTTCCAGAGAAATCCTAAGTTTGCTGTCCCTATGTTAAGGCTCTTTCTGCTGACAAGGAATAGAAACACACTGAGATGATCTCAGTTAAGGATTTATAGTAAGGAGGCCAGAAATGACCTCAGCACCTGACAGTGGCCTCAGCAGCTTCTCCCCTGCTATTCTGAACCCATAGGAGCTTAGGTTGTTTGTGGCTGCGGTCCTGCTAGACCAGCAGAGTGATCGAGTAGTCTTTGTCATCTTTCTGTTTGGCAGCCCCTCTTCATCAACTGCCACTCCAGGATTCAGCCCATATCCACCTCTGCTGTTCTTGGCTGGCTGTCTTGTGAGGCATGGCCATCCGGGTAGTGAAGCCCTCAGAAGTGGGCATCTTGTGTGACCCATCCTCTCTGATTCCCCTTGGACTCAGTCCCTTTGCGACTTGGTGTTTTTCACTTGTTCTGCATATCATTTTTCATTCACCTTGTTGGAGTAAAAATCATGTTCTTTTTACCTTCTCATTTCTACTTTAGGCTTCTGGAGGGCAACTGTCATGTCTTTTGTTTTATATTCTTTACAACGGTTAATGGTACATTTTGTTCAGTAAAATTTCAATGAACTTACTGACTTAAGAGACTCCCTCAGAGTGGAATTCTTTTTAGTTATAGCTTTGGTTTAGTATTAAATATTGCCACTGACATCGAAACTCCTCCAGATTTGCAAGATGGTTAAGGTTCAAAGACCCAGGGAGATGCTGAGTCTGGGTGGGTGTTGGTAGTGGAGGAAGATGACTTTAGAGTAGACAGTCTGGGGTCAGTCCTGGCGCTGATGCTCTTAAGTGTATGCCTTGGGCATACGTTTTACCTCTCTAGACTGCAGAGCCCTGAGCTGTAAATTGGGGCTAGTAGGGGTACCTCATGGGTGGTGAGGATTAAATATGGTAGTATGTGTGGCCTGTTAAGCATAGTCTGGCACATGGTAAATGCTTTCGAGCAGTGTTGGAGAGGCAGGAGTGCAAGAGCCCTTAGGAACTTTTTTTTTTTAAAAAGATTGGCACCTGAGCTAACAACAGTGGCCAATCTTTTTTTTTTCCTGCTTTATCTGCCCCCCCCCGCCCCCCCCCCGTACATAGTTGTATATCTTAGTTGCAGGTCCTTCTAGTTGTGGCAGGTGGGACGCCGCCTCAGCGTGGCCTGACGAGCGGTGCCATGTCCATGCCCAGGATCCAAACCCTGGGCCGCCACACTGGAGGGCGCGAACTTACCACTCGGCCAGGAGCCAGCCCCAGGAACTTTTTTTAAAGGTTGCATAACTTGCAAGATGTTTGCAAAGATGTTTTTAAAGATATTAAATAGAAACTAAATAGTATTTTTGTTTTTTTTATTCTGAAAAGATTGTGACATACTGATGTGAAAAATAATAGAAGAGATGCTGTTGATTTTGTGGGTTATCTCAGGGCTGAGTGCTGGGCCGCTGCGGTGACCCCTGTGTTGTTTTAGAGCACTCGGCACTGAGGGAGGTTTGTTATCTAAGAGCCCTAAGACGGGGTGGGGGGGGGGGGGGTAGGGCTGCTGCTTCCTGAGCTGCAGTAAACCTATAGTGGAGTTGAATATAGAATTTTAGACCTAGAAGAGAAACTAGCTAGATGCCCGGTTCAGTCTCTTCAGGAAGATTTGTCACGTAGACAGATGATTAACTGTTTGTTCCAAAGATGCTTAGAAATAACCAACTCTTGAAAATAGTTAATTCCTGTGTCCCAGCATCCTGACAGTTGAGGCGGCATGTGTGTTTTCCTCTCTTCAGCTTAGGACGATTTCTGCTGTAAACCATGTGTGTTTCTTTTCAATTGGCCTTTCTTAGAAAAAAGGGGTCTCATGTGAAGTTCGAGAGACACTTACTGTGTGCCTGGTCTGCTAGAGAGGTTCAGAGGTGAGTCCTTGCCCTTGAGCAGTACGTTTACATAGTAAAGTGAGTCTGGTGAAGTTGGGTCTCTGGAGGAAGAAGTACATTCTGGTGTCCTGGAGTGTCTGTCTGCCCCTCAGCTGCCTTTTCGTGACGTTTCAGAACTTACTTCCTTTCATCTATTTTTCTTAGACGGACTGATTTTACTCCCTCTGGTTTTCAATTTGTGGAAAAATACATTAGTTGAAGCTGACTAAGGGTTTTCTTTTTAGCAATGTTGATTCTAACTTGGTTCTTGAGTGGGAGAGAGAGATGGAGACACAGCTAAACTAGCCAGAGTTTGTGCTTAATTTGTGTGCCAGAAGCTCACATGGTTGAAGAAAGGTTGAAAACTGTTACCTTGGATGACCTCGGCTTTCTTTTCAGGAATCCTTCCTGATTCCTCCACAGTCCTTGGTACACTGACTGGAAGTAGATGTAGCATAGTAATGGGGGATCAATGAATGGAATGTCAAGTGAACGTATTTCTGTCTCTGTGGTCCACATCTTGTTGCTGTTAATATGTCTCAGTTTTGTGTTGAATGTTTTCATAGTGGGACTGTGTAGGTAATTGTTGTATTTTGCTTGTGAAGATCAGTTATTACTTTTTCTTCTGTATTTATGTATTATGTATTTATGTGTTACGTATTTATGGCTAGTCAGTTTCTCCTATATTATGAAAAATAGACCATGTTGAATTTAAATGTCATAATCTTTGGGAGGCTTTCTGAATTTCATCATAGTTTAGATTTTATCCTCTTTCACTTTTATAACCCCGTCTGATAAAATTCACCTTATAGGTTTTTTGATGAGTATACATTTAATTTTTTTCTTATCTGACTCATCACTGAGGATTCCGATCTGATCTGTTGAATAACACATCCAGCCTTTTGTGACTGATTCTGTAATTATCTTTTGGTGCAACCCTCATACCAGTGGTTCATTTAACCAAAGTGGTGTGGTCAGTCCCTGACTATGTGGTATTACTTCTTTTTAGTGAAATCGTCCTTTGGAGTGGAGTTAAAAGCTTTACCTTAAGATGTTACAGCTGTTAATTCCCTTTGTTTTTTTAAGCCTCATTTTCTCTCCTGTTACTTACTGGAATTGAACTCATATCATTTGCTAGTGCCTTATCAAATTTATTTACCCTATAATTTAACTGTTCAACAAATAAATTTATAGGGTAAAACAATGGAGTTATAATGATTCATAACTAAATTGTGCTAATAGCATTTGACTTTTATTTTCACTTTAAATACCTAAACTTTGGAAAATTCTCCCTCTTGAGCAGAAATCAAAACACATAACTAATCGACTACGTCTTGGAAGTTTCTTGAACTCCCTCTCTTTTGGCTAGTACAGTGTAAAACTTAGAACTTGTTGTCCAGCTTATTTTCTTGAAATATAAAGTATTGTACAGTTGCCAATACAAAATATGAGTACAGAGTGTTTCCGAGAGAGCGAGCATGGTGTTCACTCCTGGAGCGGGTGGAAACTTTTTTCTTTTCCTTCTAGAGTAGCACAGAAGAGGGAGGACGCTGTTTCCAAGGAAGTGACTCGAAAGCTGTCTGAAGCCGATAATCGGAAGATGTCTCGGAAGGAAAAAGACGAAAGGTTTGACTCCTTATTTGAAGTGTTTGTGATAATCAAAAACGGGGATACTGTGTATAAAATAAGCTTTAGATTTCTACTCAGAGAACGTAGATGTTGGAGTTGTCTGAGGTACACGTTAGAATTGTAGACGACGTAGTCATGGGAGCAATAACCACTGACTTTTTGAGTGTTTCTTACTATCAAATACTTTTCTCTGTGCTGAGCACAGTTTGTTCTTTCCTCTGAAGAGCTCTGTGAGGTAGGTTCTCTTGGTTCTCCATTTTACACCTGAGGGAACTGAGGTGCAAGGGCTCAGGGACTTGCCCTCCGCCAGCGGTTAGCGGGTGGAAAGCCTGCAGTGAGAACGGGCCGGCAGGCGGGCGGGTGGAGAGCTTGTGCTTGTGACCACTTTGCTGGAATCGAGAGGCCTGCAGAGCCTCGTCCAGTGCTGCCTCTGCCGCTCGATAGCTGTGTGACCTTGAATGTCTCACCTGACCTCTCTGGGTCTGAAGAGTTGAGTGTTGTGTGTTAGCGTTCTTAGGTGGTGGTATTTCTGTTGCTGAGCTTCCCCAGGGACATCCAGTTTTTGGTTATCTGCATTGGTTGGGAAAAAGAAGAGAACTGGGTTTGTCTCCTGTCGCCTGATTCTGTGCCGCATTTGTTAGTCCCCACCCCAGTTTTTCCTGCCAACTGCTCTTAGAAGGCTTAATAAAGAGCGTAACGTCTGAGTAGCAGCAGCCTCTGAGTGATGGAGTCAGCTTGGGCTTAAGAGTTGCCAGATGGTTCAGTAGAGTCATGTGTCGAGGTTGTTTTCATGGATCTTAAGTTGTAGTATCTACAGGGTGCTTTGTGAAATGAAATTTTTTCCCCACTTTGCTCCATAAAGGCTTTGTGGGGACTTGTAGTATTCAAGTGCACATAAAACAAAACAGTACAATTTTAAAAGATCAGAAACTGTTTGAAAAGTAAGAAAATGTGGGTGAACAAGGACCTCGGGGTTAGTTATAGCAGATGGGCACTGAACTTAGCTCGAGCCTGCTAGTGTCGGGGGAAGCATCTGAGGCCTTACAGCTTTCCTGATCTCATGGGAGGCCGCATGCGAGTCCTGAAAAGAAACTTTCTCGGCACTGAATCTTGGAAGGACTTTACCACGTGCATCCTTAATTAAGGGACACTGGGTAACTTAATGAACAATGTCTTCTACGGTGGTTTTGGAAAGGCACCAAAACATTTTTGAAATGGTTTCTCCCATGGATTCTTTATAAAACTGAAGGCATAATATTAAGATCATGACAATGAAGGCCCTTCTTCAGGGAACAGCTAGAATGTGGTTTGGGTGCATAGCTTTCTGATTGCAACTATTTGCATAGGGATAGAGGTTAGAGAATCTAGAAAACTTTAAAAAAAAATTTTATATTGAGGTGCTGGCCCCGTGGCCGAGTGGTTAAGTTCGCGCGCTCCGCTGCAGGCCGCCCAGTGTTTTGTTCGTTCAAATCCTGGGCGCGGACATGGCACTGCTCATCAAACCACGCTGAGGCGGCATCCCACATGCCATAACTAACAGGACCTACAACGAAGAATATACAACTATGTACTGGGGGGCTTTGGGGAGAAAAAGGAAAAAAATAAAGTCTTTAAAAAAAATTTTATATTGATCGATAATATTTATGAAAACACTGGTTCTTAAACTGGAGTGCCATCATAGTTACCCAGTTTCAAAATGCTTGTTATAGCTCCTACAGGTTTCAGGTGATTAGTTAGATCAGAGGTGGCAAATGAGTCTCGTCTGCCCACTGCAGACTCACTTGATTTGGTCTGGCACGTGTTCTGGATCCTGGGACCTGTATCAGAATCTTTCTCAGTGTGGCGTTCAAGTAGTCACTGCTAGTGGATTGGAGTTGGAATGGGAAATGAAACCTCTTTGTTATTCGCTAGACCAGATATTTCTTTTTTTTTTTGAGGAAGATTAACCCTGAGCTAACTACTGCTGGTCTTCCTCTTTTTTACTGAGGAAGCCTGGCCCTGAGCTAACATCAGTGTCCATCTACCTCTACTTTTTTTTTATATGTGGGACGCCTGCCACAGCATGGCATGCCAAGCGGTGCCGTGTCCGCACCCGGGATCCGAACTGGTGAACCCCGGGCCCCCGAGAAGTGAAACGTGCGAACTTAACCGCTCCGCCACCGGGGCTGGCCCCAAGACCAGATATTTCAAAGTAGGATGAAGCAGAGGTTTCATTGACACATAAAGTTCAGAGTGTCAGAATATTATAAAATTTCTATTCCTGTCAGCAGTAGAAATTTGTGCTGTCAGTATTTTTCTTTCAAAAAGCCACACTGGCTGTACTCAGGATTCACTCTGATGACTGGGACCAAGACTCCCATGAAGATCTAGTATTTTTCTCCCTCAAAGGATGAGTTGCTTCTAGGAGATGTGATTTAAGAGAATGCTTATGAGCACCTCTTTGCCTGGGTGTGTCTCTCTCAATCTCCGTCTCCAGTTATTTGGAATATGCACTCCGTGCCACTTTGAGACTGCTTTGCCATCCATCCAAGGATGGAAGTTAGCAGAGGAGAATCAGAGATTCATTAACGCTTGTCCCGAGGTGTGAGTGTTACTTCTCCTTCACTTGCTGACTGTCATTTAACATTATGTGATTGTAACAGTTGAGTTTGGTCTCAACTTTTCTCTTGTTGTAGGAAGTGCTCCTTCGAAAAATGGCTCCTTTGGAAGTGCTCTCCCAAACTAGGTTTCCTACCGGTGAGGCTTTCGCGGAACCATTGCTGATGAGGGCATTTGGGGGTCCTAAATGTTTTCAAAATGCACCAGGATATAGGTGGACTAGAAAAAGTTCCAAAAGCTGTCAGCCAGTCCTGATTGTTTATACACTGACACAAACACGTGGTCATATTGGAAGCTGGCGTAACCTAAAGGATTGAGCCGCTTCTTTCGTCAAAACTGTTTTGAAGTTGGCTCTGATTCAGGGCATGACAGGGAGTTAGGGAGAAGCACTGTGATGGGGGTGGGGTAATTTAAGCATCCTTAGTAAAGGCATGCTAGTAGCCTATTAAGGAACCTGTCTTGACTGGGTCTTGTGCCAGAGTCTTAAAAACAGAGATTCTGGAATTGTTCTGAGTGTTTTCCAGCATTAAACTATGTTGGGACTATGCTTATTTCTGAGCTGTTGTTGTCTTTTGATTGACACCAGTGTTGGAATAGTATAATGTATTTCCTCCGATTCAAAGTCATGTATGTTTTTTAAATTTACCTTTAAGCTTCTCTGAAATCAGAAGCTGTTTTATAGTTGATGGTTGCATTTAATGTAATATCCTTCATTTCTCCAAAACTTAAAGTAAATCGAAGATTTATTAAGTTGATGGTATCCATAGAATCAAGGAAATATGGTATATGTATTAAAGACCACAAGTTCTTATGATGGAGATAAGGTCCTGATACCCTTCATTTAGCTCCTTGATAGCCAAGTTTGTTGACTTTGGATTAGAATATTTGTTGAATAAAACCTGGCATTTACAAATGACATTAGCTTTAGGATTAGTGCTGTCTTTAGGATTGGTGAAAGGTATCACCTGGCCCCAGAGTAGTGTACCTTTTGAGGGAACAAAGCATCTATGGCAGTGACTTTCAGCCTTGTTGATAATGACATGTAGTAAAAAATAATTTTACCTTTGAACAAATATACTCATAGATAGACACTTGCAAATGTGTCCCAAAACAGTAATTACCCTACTGTGTGATGCACTTGATATTTTCCTATTTAATTTCTTAAAAAAAATGCTAGTCTTGGGGCCGGCCCGTTGGTGCAGCAGTTAAGTGCGCACATTCCACTTCTCGGCGGCCTGGGGTTTGCCATTTGGATCCTGAGTGTGGACATGGCGTAGCTTGGCACGCCATGCTGTGGTAGACGTCCCACATATAAAGTAGAGGAGATGGGCACGGGTGTTCGCTCAGGGCCAGGCTTCCTCAGCAAAAAGCGGAGGACTGGCAGTAGTTAGTTCAGGGCTAAGCTTCCTTAAAAAAAATAAATGAGATAAATAAATAAATGGATTTTACAGAAGTTAGAAAATCCTCCTGATGATCAAGCAGATTCTTTGTTTGAATTAAGATGGCTAGAGATAGTTGCAGCCAGGTCTGCTTCTGCGAGACCACACTCGGTTTTTCTCCTTGGGCTTGTCTAAGGTGTAGGATTGAGGACTGGGTCTGTAGGCTCTAGAGGCTCAAGCCAGCAGCCCAGGGAAGCTCTCTCAGGCTGCTGATCATCGAGTTTGTTTTAGGTGAGGACGTAGAGAAAGATGCCTGTTTTAGCTGCTGACGAAACGAAGCCAATTGCAGTTAATCAGTCCTTCCTCCAAAGCTCTCGCTGCCTGGGAAAAGGGAACATACCCAGAAACTGTTTTCCTCAGCATCAAAGAGTGAAATAGCATTGTCAGCAGTAAAAAGGGGACCGTTCTGATTAAGTTGAATATTAAAAAACATATTGTGTGGGGCCGGCCCCGTGGTGTAGTGCTTCAGTTCGGCACGTTCTGCTTTGGCAGCCTGGGTTTGTTTCCCGGGCGGGGACCTACCCCACTCGTCAGTTATGCCGCGACAGCGACCCACATACAAAATAGAGGAGGATTGGCACAGATGTTAGCTCAGGGCGAGTCTTCCTTGAGCAGAAAAAGTGGAAGATTGGCAACAGATGTTAGCCTAGGGCCACTCTTCCTCAACAGCAACAACAAAAAACACGCACATTGTGCCCAGCGCACTTAAGGAAAAACTTATTTTATAATGAGCTAGAGCCATTGTGGTATTGAAAATTTTTACTACATGTTTATGAACCCGATTAACTTGTTTCTGTGTCTGCAGAATCCTGTGGAAGAAGAATGAAGTTGCTGATTATGAAGCTACAACCTTTTCCATCTTCTATAACAACACCCTCTTCCTGGTCTTGGTCATTGTTGCTTCCTTCTTTATCTTGAAGAACTTCAACCCCACAGTGTATCCTTTGAAAGTTGGTATCTTTTTTAGAAGTCTGGAAACAGTAGTTCATTTGGTTTTGATTCGTCTGAGTATTTTAGTGGAAAGAAAAACTTCATGGGGAGTCAGTCCATTAAATAGCACTGTGACCCTTAGGCAGGTTTCTGGACATTTAAAATAAGGGCTTTTAGTTTGATTTAAAGTTCTTTTAAGTTTATAAATTATGACTTCATGATAAATACCAAGTATTACAAAGCAGTCTTACATACATGATTATATATACCTGCATCTGTAAAAAGAGTTGCAAGGAGTGAAAGCAGACTTGTCTGCTTGGGTAGCTGCGGGCGCAAGTCCACGTGTCTGCTGATGCTTGGCGCTTTGGGGTTGGGTGGATAGCCGGTGTAGTTAGAGGCACATTTGGTCATGTCTGTGCTCACTGTCAGGCTGCTCTTAGTTGAGCTTTGGGGCAAGAATCAGTCTTCTCTTGTTAAGGTAATTTATTCAAGGTGTTATCCAGGGATGGGAGGCAAACTTTTAACAGTTGGAGGTTCTGCTGTAGTTATATATCAGACACCCTTTGGCTTGTGTCTTCTGTGAATGCTGTTGGCCCCACGGTCTGAGAGGAGCTGAGGGCTATCGGCCCCTCCCCACTGCCCCAGGCCAGCTGTAGCCAAAACACTGAGACAGGGAGACTTAGTTCTCCTTTGCCCCTGGGGGGAAAACAAGTCTCTTCTTCTTCCCCGTGTTCTTTGATCAGCTCCACTCCTGAAGGTTAAATAGAGTTCAGATGTTTGCTTTGTCGTCATGTGTTCTAGGTTTCTGTCTCAAGTGGATTTTTTTGAATTGGAGCACATTTCCGGTGAATGTTCTTCCTTCTTTGTAGTCTTCTGGCTTGTCACTTGTGTCTGCAGACAATGAGACTGCACGTCACTGTCCTGCAGTGTGTCAGGAGGGAAGCACTGCAGTCCAAAGTGATGGGCTCTATTTGTTTTGTTGAGAAGCGAATTTGGGGTTCTTAATTTCTCCTTAACATTAAATTCTTACAGGAACTACATTTTATCCATAAGTGCTTCATCAGGCCTCATCGCCCTCCTGTCTACTGGCTCCAAGTAGACCGTGTCAGCGTTGCCCCCGGCGTTGTGTCTCTGGGTGGCCTGTGGGCCGTGGAAAAGTAGCAGGTGGCCAGCGTGGGGGACACACACGATGTTTTATAGTCTGGAGGTTGAGGGTTTGAAAAACCAACAAAATGTAATTCAGTATTTGTTTATTGGCTCTATTTTGACAGATTGTTGAAATTAAATGAAAGGGAAACTCAGAGTACCAGGACATTTATTAAAAGACAAAAATTCTCTCTCAATGTACTATAATCACAAGAGGAGAAAATAACTTGTTTCTTTAATCTGTCAGAGGTCACAGTAACCTGGAGTGAGCTGTTATTATTTATAATAGTAGCAAGAAGTTAAAAACTGGTTCTGTATGTTCCAAGCACAATATTACAACTTTTTTGAACCATAAATATCAGAATGAATTTTTTCCCCTTGGGATTGAACAGAAGCCTCATGTTTACAAGTCTCTGAACTGTGATTTGAAATAACTGAATCCAAGTTAAAAACATGGTTTCTCCAACTTGGGGAAGAAAAACTTGTGGAAAAGTTCTTTTTTTTTAAAGAAGAAAGGCAGCCAGGGTAATAACCTAAAAATAGCGTGCACACACGAGAGTTGTCCTGTGGGTTAAAGCACACAGTGTTCAGCGGTGGGGCTCTGGCCTGGTAGCCAGGGAGGTCAGCGTGACCCTGCTGTGTTGGTTTGCCCTGTTAAGAGGCTGGAGCCATTGTTTTCCCTGAGCAGAGTCTCACACCACTGGAGGAATGTTGAGTAAGAGAGAGAACCACTTTCCTGAATATCGACCTGTCAAAGACCGAAGTAAATTTTGTTCCAGAATTCTAAGAACACTTTAAGGAGTTACAGTGGTTTTAGTGCTTGTTAGCGTTTTTCCATTAGGACTTTTAGTAAATTTGACCCTTTGGTCCACAGGTCCTCATAGATTGTGGGACCCTCTTCAGCCCTTGAGGGTCCAGCCAAGAGTGGTCTCTTGCATTTTTTAACGAATGTATGTACAGATACTATCGTTTTCTGTGTGTGCCACGATTTAAGAAAGTTGGGAAGGCTCTTCTTGAACCTGTATCCACTTAAAAGGTTATGGAATCACAGGTGACAGTCGGTTTCACATTCCTGTTAACTTTTGACCACATCTAGTAATTTCCTACAAGCAGTACGTCAAAGGAAATAGCACATTACTAATGCCTAATCTTAACTTTAATCTTTGGTTTCCCCTTCTAAATTTAAGATGGATGTTGCAAATAATATTCGCTGTTTTACTTAAAAGTTTATAGAAAGGCATTCGTCAAGAGTTCATCTTCCACTTGCATGCTGTTGCATGTTCTGTAAGGCCACATCCACGAACTTGGAAGGAAGAGGGGGCAGGAGTACATTGCAGAGCGACCCGGATGGCCTCCGGTTGAGCGCTCTCTCTCAGCTCCTGGAGGTTGGCGGTTCCTCCTTCGGTGCGTTAGCCATTTGCCGTCACTAGTGGCCCGGAGTGAGCGGGGAGTCAGCAGAGATGTGCTGAAGGGTGGTCTCACACGTGAGAGCTTTTTAGTTATTTTAACTTTTTTTCCTGTCACTAAATAATGAGGTCAGTAGTTTGATGGTGGCATGGGGTTTGTGTACCAAATGCATTTGCTTACTTGACAAAATGACTCTGACAAACCATCAGTGTTGACTGTTTGTTACCAGAGCTGGGCCAAGTTGGGAAGTACCTTTTTAAATAGCTGGTAGAAACATTGTCGCTAGATGGCAGTGCCTGTATGGATGGGGGAAGTTGCCGCCATTCTCTAATGCAGTGTAGCTGAGACGGGGTGGTGAGATGGGGCATCAGCTTAATACTCTTCAAAGAATTTCTTTTGATTTAATAAATTGAATAGTTTGTAGAAAAGCAAGTAAGCAAAATGGGGTTTTGGTCCTGAATTTTTCCTATAGCACTTTTTGTTTTTAATCCTGATAATGGTTTTTGGCTTTCTGTGCCCTGTAAGTGTTAAAGCGTATTCTCACAGTCCACAGTCTCGATGACAGATATACTGCACCGGGACTTAGGCTCAGGACATGCAGAAGAGCGGAACGGCAGCGTGGCACGTGGAATTAGGATGTGCTGAATCTGGTTCAGGGAAGAAAAACCTGCTGTGGTAGAATTTTTATCCTAAAAAGACGCTGCTGTTATCTAACACCTTACGGTAAAGGGGTTCTGCTACAATTGAGGTGCAAAGTGGTTAAATTCCTATTTTTTCACACTCCTGTGATAAGTGGAGGCTTAAAGGGTTGGAACATTTACATTTCCCTATTTTTAGTTTCCTCATTTACAACTGAACAAAACTTAATAAAAATCTCCGATTAAAATTAGCCAGTAAAAATTTACTGGTAGTCCTATTTGGTGTATTATTCTATCATGGAAAGAGTAATTTGAAACAAGGTTTGAAGTTAACTGAAATATGGAGGTTGGATTCATACCCAAAATTCTTGTGGAAGGTCTTATTAAGTATCATTAAACTTTGATTTTTTAAATTTATATTTTCCCTACACTTCTTTATAAGAACCACGTGAATAAGTACATCATCTTTATTACATTATTTCACATTAACCTGATTTTGATTTCCCACACACATGGAAGTGCATTTTGTGGTTACTGATGGGCCGTGTGGCAGTGACGGGGTCGTGTGGTTATACTACAGAGCAGACCATCGGGCCTCTGCCGGTATGTGCCTGCTGTGCCCTCCTGCCCACCCATGTCTGTTTTCAGTGTCGTGCCCATCGCTGCTGCTTCTGGAGACACGAAGGGAGGGGAGACAGACAAGACCACCGCGAGAACCAGTCTGCAGACAGATGTGTTTGGGCTGTAAGAGGTCATCTCTCACCCCCGTGGACTTCCAAGCAGGGCAGTTAGTTGAAGATGAGGAGGGCGTTTTGAGTGGTTGGTTTAGATTTTCATAGAGATGTCACTGGCCTTAATGAGCTTTCATTGCATCTCTGATCTTTGCCTCTTAACTGATCCTGAATTTGGATTCATGCCCAAACTTTTTTTTTTTTTTTTATTAATGTTATGATAGATTACAACCTTGTGAGATTTCAGTTGTACATTTTTGTTAGTCATGTTGTGGGTACACCACTTCCCCCTTTGTGCCCTCCCCCCACCCCCCCTTTTCCCTGGAAACCACCGATCAGATCTCCTTATCAATATACTAACTTCCACCTTTGAGTGGAGTCATATAGAGTTCGTCTTTCTCTGACTGGCTTATTTCGCTTAACATAATACCCTCGAGGTCCATCCACGTTGTTGTGAATGGGCCAATTTTGTCTTTTTTTATGGCTGAGTAGTATTCCATTGTGTATATATACCACATCTTCTTTATCCAATCATCAGTTTCTGGGCATGTAGGTTGGTTCCACGTCTTGGCTATTGTAAATAATGCTGCGATGAACATGGGGTGCAACGGACTCTTGAGATTTCTGATTTCAGGTTCTTAGGATAGATACCCAGTAATGGGATCATGCCCAAGCTTTTTTAACGTAAAAACATCATGGTTACTTTTTCATAAAGGTTTAAAGCTAAAGGAAGAAAGTCATTCTTAAAAGAGCACTGAAGTGGAGCATAGAATACTTGGGTTCTACACCTGGTTCTGCCATCAACTAGCAGTGTGAGTTTCAGTGAGTCCTTTCATCTCTCCAGGCCTGGTTTCATTTGCCAAGGAGAGGTGGCTTTGAAAGTGGCTAAGGTCCCTTGAATCTTTGACATCTATCTGATGACTTTTGGCACTTTATTGATGAAGATGAAGTGACAGTTCTTGAAGTGAGAAGGCAGTTACAGGCTTTCTAGTTTGCATTTCCTCTGACCAAGATTTCAGTATGTGGACGGCTGCTGCTCAGCTTACCTTTAGGAATGGTATATTCTCTGCCAAGGAATTCTTCCCAGAAAAGAAAAGAAAAAATGATAGTGCATGGAAATTCTTCTTAGAGATGTAACTGAAATGTATTTCTTATCTAGTATATTTACCATGGCAGATGATTCATATATTAAAAAAACTAGCTGTTTCCGTGGCTAAGCAGTACTGTTTGTATTTGGTTTTAATTTGTAGGCTCTTTTAAATGAGTTTGAGAAGCTATAACCTTAGTGCAGTGTATTTCTAAAAGCCAATGAGAAATGTATCTGTAGTAATCATTTTCTCCATTAATAAGAAAAAAAGTTTGCATTGCAATTTAAATCTTGCTAACTGCTTTCTGTTAGGTATCTTTCAGTGCAGCTTACCTGCCAACATAGTTTTTATTTAAATGATTTTTCCTGCCTGTTTATGGAGATGGATATATATAGTGCCTTAAATGAAAGATCAGATAAAAACAGATTAAATGTGCCAAATGCTTTTATTACTCTAAGCAAATTAATAAGTTAAATGACAGTTCCAATTAGACAACTTTAGCTCATTTATACATATAGTGGTTCACTGGATTGGTTGAATACACAATGAACAACTGAAAGTGATCCATTTCCATCATTAATCTGATACACTTCGGTAAAAACCCCAAACTAGTTCCCTATTAGAATACTATTTTCCTATTAGAATTAGAATTCCCTTTTAGAATAGTAGTAATCAAAAAGGAAATTTGTTGATATTTCACACTAACATTTTAAGATTTAGAACTTAACTATGAAATACGTATCTGGAAATGATGGCAGAAAATAGCATTTAAAGCTGATAGTATATTTCTTCTGTAAGTCTCAAAGTGATTTCTGTATGGGAGACCTGCTGGTCAGAAAATTAAATTAGAATTTTGTACATGCTCAGATGTCCGAATAGAGATATAGGATCCCCCCCCCCCCCAACCCCGTGTTTTCTCCCTTGTTACAGGTACACACAATGCATTCTCATAGTTTTTTTCAAGTGGAATATTCATGAGGGTAGGGAGCCAATAGAGGCAGGGCTCGTTAGACCTCAGCTTCTGGTTGCAGCAAGGCCAGACTCCCCCTGCCCGCCCCATCCATGCAGAGAGCTTTCATGCATGTGGTGTAGTGCAGGTAATGTGTTTATAGAGTCAGGAAGTTCTTCAACATTTGCTTTTCATTGGGCAAGTCAATTCACCCAGCATATGCTGAGTAGGAATAGCATTTTTCAGAAGGTCCCTGATTCACTTTTACGTTCATAACTCCTCAAAAACAGCAAATGTTATATTGTAAAATCCCAGTGCTAATTAAACAGCAAACATGGGGCTTTCTGGGTATTTTACAGGTTTACTTAGAAAACTGAGCATGTGTATATTTATTTTTAAAGTTCAAATATTTAATCTTGCAGAAGCTGTGCCCACAAGCAGTCAAAAGTATAAAGCAGATTTTAATAAAATGTCAAAAATGAATACTTCATTGCAGATACACTTTATTCAAAGATAAGCTCCCACAGCAGTATAATCCTCCCTTTCATAAGTTAACCGCAATGTCTCTAAAGATTGGGGTGTGCGTCCTTTTACCATCTCTACATGTAAATAGACATGGCATTGTTAGCATCCTAATAGACTTCTTGGATAAATTGCTCTATGGGGTCATTCTTGGGGGCAAGCAACAGTGAATATTTAAAAGGTAGTGAGAGCAAATACCTAGGAATTTTCGTTTTTTTGAATGACGAAAAAACTTGCTAACATGAATGTGAAAATAGAAAAAAAGTAAAGTTTCTGCTTATTCTCTCAAGCAAGACTTCTGAGTGAACAAAGGCTACTCTTTCTAATGCAGTCCACATTGCATCTGTGGCTTTTGTTCCTTTGAAAAAATATATCTCTACAGCCTTCTCTGAGTTACTAAATGCCTGAAGGTCATGTCTTCCCCTCCTACACTTCCCACTGCATAAGCATGAGGTGTACTGAGCAACGCAAGGACTGGCGACTCCTGTCCAAAGAAGAAAATAGAATGGAGTTTCTTGGTTGTGAGATTTCAGATGTGCTCATAATTCAGGTGCACAGTGGTAGCAACAGCAGACCCCTCAGGATCCGGGGACACTAGAGGTTGAGCAGCAGGCTGCTAAGGGATTCAGAAGACTGGCTAGTAACACCATTCTGTACTGGTGGAGACCGCTGTTGGAACCATGTGGCTCCTGCGGCTCCTGCACTGCCTTACGATCTGTAGTCCTTTTTGCTGTAGGGCTTGTTGCGCAGTATGTTATCAATCTCATTTACCACATGTGTTGTCATCTTTGGGAGAACCTGAGACCGTGAGAAGTACAAAGGATGTGGTTAGTGCTTGAAATTGGTTTCTTGTGCTCAATATTAAGCAAAGTCATCTTGACTTGTATACCTTTATAAACTGCAAGTAGAATGTACGCTCCCCACCAGACTGTAGGCTCCGGGAGGTCAGGGACCTTGTTGCATTCACCGCTGTACCTCCAGTGCCTGTAAGTGCTTGGCCCATATTTGGTGCTCGTAATTATTAGTTGACTGAGTAAATGAAGGCATAAGGTATAAATGAGGGCTCACAGAAATATATCCAGAGCTGCTGGATATATAATGCAAGCTGCATATGTAATTTTAGATTTTCTAGTGGCCACATTTATAAAAGTGGAAAGAGACAGGTGAAATTAATATGTAGTTTTACTCTATTATATCTAAAATATTTTGACTTGTAGTCCCTATAGAAAACTATTAAGATCCTTACCTTTTTTTTAAGTACTGTCTTTCAAGTCCAGTGTACATTTTACACGTACAGCACATCTCCTTTTGGCCTAGCTACCTTGCATGCACTCAGTAGCCACTTGTGGCTAGAGGCTACGGTAGTGGACAGCACAAGTCTAGAGACTGGTGAGAGATTCTTTACCACTGGGTGTCAGAACCCTGGTAAAGGATGGCCAGGGCTTGACAGGCATCCCAGGCAGATGGAATAGCATGAAAAAGTGGACAGTCCATGAAATGGAGTGATAAGTATAGAGTGAGTGGTGGAGGTGTGGAAGTGGTAGGAATAGGGGGAAGAGAAGTTGGGGTAAAAAGTGTGGAAGGCCTTGAATGCCATTTTTTGGAGTTGTGACTATTCCTTAGGCAGTGGGGAAACTGTCAGGGCTTCTCAGCGGGGAGTGACCCCATCAGACACCTGGTGGTAGTCTGAAGGATGAGTTGGAGGAGATTGAAAGGGGACACAGATGTTAGCCAGTGACACCAAGGGCCTTAACTAGGATGGGGCAGTGGAGTAGAGAAGGGGAGTGGATCTGAGGCACTTTGAAAGAGGAAGATTTCAAGGCTGGGTGACCAGAAGGTTATTGATGTAGGTTCTCGGGACTGGAAAGCATAGAAGTCATTTGGAGAAACTTTGGAGCAGGGTGTGTTGAGTGAAAGGTGCCTCTGGGAGTTCGTGTAGAAATGACTCGTAGGCAGCCTGGCCGCTGGAAGTGCAGCTGAGGAGCGTGGGAGGAGGGCTGGAGTCCAGGGTTTGCGAGTCATTTGCATGGACATGCTAATCGAAGCCCTGGGAAAGGAGGCCGGCGCAGGGGCTAGCGTTTATTGGGAGAAGTGGGCCAAGGGCACACATTACACCATAAGACAAGGGCCGGATGCAGACTTTTTCACAGGAATAGTCTGACCCTGTGTGGAGACTGTGGTGAAATACACTTATGACGCCCAATTTGCGGTTTCTGCCTCCCCCTTCCCCTGCTGCAATCGCCTTGGCCAGGGTGACCTGGTTTCACTCAAGTGCTGTCCTCAGAAACCTCAGGGCTTGGCAGAGCTGTGGAGCTACTCAGCCTGGGAAACTGGTTTCGGTTAACATTTTCCTAACCGAAGCTAAAGGGAGAGTTCGAGTTCCCACCAGCTGTGGAGTCTCAGAGGATCTGAACTAATGTATTATTTCAAGTGAGACTGCAACAGTGAGACCCAAAGCTAGAAACTAGATTTGTTGGAAGATTTGTGTCTCAAACGTAGTGGGTTAACCCTGTGAAGAAAAAATGTCTTCATTCATTACACCAAAATAAATCTCAGAAGAGATTTAAACATTAAAAAAATGAAAGCATAAAAGTACTTGAATAAAACATGAAAAACACGGAGAGTGTTGGAAGACCTAAATTTTCAGGAGAAGCCATACATCCAGAATTTTATGTGAAATTGCCCAATTTTTTAATGTTGTCAACTGTTTTAAAACATTTTTATCTACTAGACATGACACAAATATCCCACGGGCCACCAGTTTTGCAACCTTGGTGTTATACTGACTAGAGTAATTGGTGGGTGAGGGGAGGCCTGGCCAGCAGGGCAGGGGCGGGCGGTATTAGGGAAGTCCTCCCAGGTTTGGGTCACTGTTGAGCTGGATCTTGGGGAGGGAGCAGGATTTTGTCAGACTGTGGTGGAGGACACTTTGCAGGCAGAGGACCACTATTACTTCTGGGGATCTGAGTAGTTCATTGCGGCTGGAGATTAGGATTCGGGGGAGGAGTGGGGAGCGGAGATGTGCCCTGGCTGTAGAGGGCCTGACTGTTCAGGGGCCCGGATCTTACTAAGGAGGCGATGGAGAGTCTCAGAGGGTTTTACAGCTGGTGGGGTGGAGGCAGTTTTACCCACTGTTTAGGTGGAAGTGGAGAGGACGGGGCCCTGTGCCGGCGATGGCGGGCTGCCTGCGGCTGTGGTTTCTCCTCTCCAGTCCCCCATCTCTTTTGGCTTTGATTTATACATGCTCCTCCAGTGTGTGCGCACCTTGGGCACATTCCACGCCTTGTTGCAGCTGCCTTCCTGTACCCATTAGAAATTTCCTTTCCTTCAACTGCTAGCACTACATGCTTTCTGTCCTGCAGCCAATCCCACCGCTCCTGGGAACCCCCAGCCACCTAGTCTACTTTCATCATATCCAGGGGCCCAATGCCAGCTTGCCTAGGGCGGAATCTTGGGTGTTGGGCTGACCAAGGTGGGAGTAGAAAGGGGAGGGGATGGTAAGCCCCGTGGTCGCAGCCTCCCTGTATGCATCACATCCCTCTTCCCTTACCCTTTGAGCATGGAAGCCCTATCCTGCCACCACCTGAGACTTGCTAGAAAGGAAATGCTTTGGGAAGGTGAGTGACTCAGAGTTTTCCTCTGAAATGTATCTTTAGCTTCCTGGAGTCTCCCGCAGCCCAGGAGCTGCCTCTTTACCCTCCCCAGGCAGCGTTAACTCCCCCTGGGATGGCAGGGACCGCTCTGAATTAGCGTGACGGGAATCCTCAGTTCCTTCCTCTCCTTGCCAAGCCATCAGCAAGTCGTGTTGTCTTTCTTTCCACAGCCTCCGGAATCTGTCCACTTCACCTCCATGGCCACCGTCTTAATTTATCCACGCCCCATAACCTGTCACCTGGACAGCAGTCCTGGTCTTGCTTCATTCTACTTTCCATACAAAGATTGCCAGAGCAATCTTTAAAACTTCAAGTAATAGCATGTCCCTCCTCTTCTTAAAACCCTCCAGAGGATTCGTTCCATGTGGAACAAAACTGACCCCTCTCGTGTCCTGTGAGATCTCCCTGCCTGCGTCTCCAGTGCGTCGCCACCTTGCCATGCTGGCCTTAGGCTGGCAGCTCTGGGAAAAGCCAGGCTCCTTCCCGGCTCGGGCCGTCTGCACTGCTCTGCCTGTGTTTGCAGTGCTCTCTCCTGGGTTTCCACATCCTGCGTCCTCATCTTCTAGGCTTCAGAATACACATATCCCAGAGGGGCCTTCGGCAGGGACGTTATCTAAAGTAGCCCCACCCATTTCTCAATTAGTCTCTATTACAGCACCCTCCTTATTTACTTAATAGCCCTTCTCACAATTTGAAATTATCTCATATGTTTGTTTATTCTGTCTCTCTCCCACTGGAAGGAAAGCTCCTTGAAGGTTGGACAGTATCTTTCTTGTTTCCTGTGGTGTCTGCAGGGCCTTGCACGTAATAGGCTCTCGAATCTGCTGAAGGAACCTAGGGTGGGTTTCTTAATTTGCTCTCAGCCAGCTCTTGGGCCTGCTGTTGGTGTCTCCGTGCTCCCTGCCTGGCCGGGTGCAGACAGACTCAGTGCTCAGTAAATACTAGTGGAGCTGAGATCATTGGATTGAATTTCAGTTCTTTTGTGTACAGGCTGCTCCCCATTTCCTCTTCCTCCTCCTTGTGTGGCCTTCGTCTTTCCCAGAGCATAAGTGAAAAGAAGGGGGGTGGCCTTCCCAGGAGGAGTTCCAGTGGTTCCTGGGTGCAGAGGGGCAGAGACCATGACCCTGCTGCACAGCCCTAGGAAAGGTGGTGGCGGGGAAGCGGGGCGGCACCGTTTACTCCCAGCATATTCTGGGCTACCCTTCAAAATGGTTTTTAAACATTTTAACTTTAATCCAGTTTGTCCCCCCTCTGTCTGTTTCCTCTGGGAGAGGTGCCAGGGCTCACTGCCTGTTCAGGGACAAGTGGACGGGAGCAGCTGGGAGACAGTTCTGTTTCCCAGGGAGCTAGAGGAAAACAGGCACCTTACCTGTTGGGCAGGTGGTGGCTATGGCGAGAGGACTGGGCAGGCCCCGAGTGGGGCTGAGAGTGGGGCGGGCTCAGGATTGAGACGTGGCCTTTGGGGGAGGGGATGGTCGCATCAGCCGCCAGCCCCACCCGTCTCGTCAGATAAAACTCCCAGGAACACCTCTCCCACTTGCCCTCTTCCTGTCCCTCCAGGCTCCATCCAGTGCCTTGCGCCTCAGGCATCCACACTGGGTAGGGAGTGGAGATGGGCCCTTCTGAATTTGCTGCTAGGGAGGTGTGACCCTGGAAGCCCAAAATAGAATTTGTGTTTCTCTTAAAATGTGTCAAACCATTCATTCAACAGGATTTCTTGAGTGCTGAGGAAGGGCCATGTAGTATGCTGGGAACTGGAAAGTCAGTGGAGAAGCAGGAAAGACACAGGTCTCTGTGCTCAGGGGCCTTCCAGCCCAGCAGGGAGACAGGCATGATCCTTGTTATCCTAAGAGCTGTGAGGAGGAGGGCTGAGGATGCCATGGGGGCAGAAAGGAGGGGCTTGGTACACTGTGGAGCGGCAGGAAACATTTGTGGAAAGAACAAACGAAGTGATGTATGAGTATTGTGCTCTGGCTATTACGTTTCGAGCAGGTTATTAAACAGGCTCTGATGGGCAGGACTGGGAGCCCAGGCGCCAGGTGCATCAGTGCTTGGGTCTTGGAATGCACTGACCCACACAGAAACAAACCTTCCTGAGAAATGAGTCTCAAGAGCATTGCCTGTTAAGAAGAGGACATCCATGGACCCATGTATTCTACAATTCTGAGCTTCTTGTGTCTTTGTCCCCACTTCCCCTCCGCCCCCCATGTAGGAACAGGTAGCCTGTTCCCCATATTGGGTTTTTATGCAACTTGGAAGCTGTGACACGATGAAGAACAGAGGTAGGGAGAGACAGGACACTGCCTGGAGACATCTTCAAAGACACCATGAAATTCCCTGGAGTTTGTGGAAAGGGCTGTCGTACTTGCCTGAATGGCACCGAGGTTTTCAATGAGCTGTTCAGGAGTGGATGACCCCAGGAGCACGGAGCTCACACCCTCGTTTCTCAGGCACCATGCTGGGAAGAGAGAACACTGGGTCAGATGCGGAGCACTGAGGATAATTGATTAGTGTATAAACACCATCTATAGCTCCTGTTGTGCAACCAAGACTTAACTAACTTTGTGGGGAGGATGGACAGTGTGCTCCAGGATTGCACACCTCAGCAGCACCCCTTTGTGGAGAGGATTTGGTAGAATCTGCATTTGAATTGAGTGTTTAGGGTTTGTGTGCTTTCGCCCTGAGGCTGTGCCCCAACGACTGGGACATCCACCACCCCAGGAACTCGTCCTTGTTCCTGAAAACCCCTGACACTGCTCCCCGGCAGGCGCCTGGATGCCCTTTCCATCCTGGCCCACAGTGTCTTCTTTCCGTCTTACCCATACTCTCACTTTTTTTCTACCTGCTACGCGGAGCCCTGGCAGACTCCAGGTGTCTGGTCCTTCGTCTTTCCCTACCTGTCAACCCTGTGGACCTCCCTTTCTTCCTGACACGAGGTGCATCCTGTGTTGATTATCTCTTGCTCTCTCACCAGCCCCCACTCCTCTTTCCTCTGCCTCTCTAGCAACCTCCACCCTTAAATCCTCTGTTCAGCCCCTGTCCGCCACCGCGCCGCTCTCTGCAGATGACCTGGCCTCTGACTTTATGTAGAAAATTAAGTTCACTGGTGAGATATTGCTTAATTCCTGACAGTTCACATCCACATCCTCCAGTTTCGGAGGGCGCCATGTGCTATTTATGTCCAAGGCCAAACTGCCCTGCAGCCAACTCCTTTTGCCTTTTCTTGGACTTGATTCATCCTTTTTTTCTCTCTCTCTCTTGCCTGGATTTTTGATTTCTTACTGTCCTCTTCCTCTCTATCAACAAAACATACTCAAACTTCTCCCACTCTAAAATAAGCCTACTCTGACCCTTCATTCCTGCCTAGCTACTGTCCGCCCTTTCCTCCTTAAACTTCGAAAAGGTCAGTTTAGACTCCCAGAGCCCCCCTTTCTCACCTCCCAGTCCCCTTCTCCCTATGCCGGAAGCCAAGGTTCCCAGGAACCTCCTTGTGGTTACAGGAGACTTTCTGTAGCTGCCTGGAACTAGAAGTTTCTGTAGGCCCATAGAGGCAGTGTCTGCTGGCTATGCCCCCTAGGTGTCCCACAGGCACTGCAAACTTCTGGCTACTTACTCGTAAGCCTGTCTTTCTTGTTCCCAGCCTCTTTTGGTGGCATCACCAGCCACTCCGCCTCCCAATCCGGAAACCTGTGAGTTATCCTTAGGGACTGTCCTTTCCTGATCCCACATTCCCTTTTAATTACCAAGTCTAGTTGGTTATCCCCCTTAAATATTTCTCGAGTCCAGTGGTTCTCAAATTTCACTTGCGTCAGAATCACCTGGAGGGCTTGTGAAACATCGTTTACCGGGGGCCACCGCCAGAGTGTCCGACTCAGGAAGTCTGCATTTCTGATGTGCTCCCACGTGGTGCTGATGCTGTGGATCCAGGGACCAGGCTTTTTTTTTAGTAAATAACTTCACTGAGGTAAAATTTACCCATTTTAAGTGTACAATTCAATAATTTTTCATAATTTGTCAAGTGTGCAACCATCACCATTTTAAATCCAGTTTTAGAACACTGCCATCAACCCAATAAGATCCTTCATGCCATTTACGGTTATCCCATTTCTAACCCCAATCCCAGGAAATCACTAACCTATTTTGTGCCTTAATAGACTTAGCATTTCTGGACATTTCATCTAGATGGAATCGTACAATATGAGTCTTCTGTATCTGACTTCTTTCACTGGGCATAATGTTCATGAGGTTTATGCGTGTTATAGCAAGTGTCAGTATATTGTTTCTTTTATTGCCAATTAGTGTTCTATTGTGTGGATGTGGGGACCACCCTGTGAGAATCACCGCTCCGGTTCAGCTGTCCGCTGCCCTCGCTCGGGCCCTCACCATCTCTCTCCTGCACAGCTGGTTTTCCGACCTCTTGCTTGGATTGTCCTGCCTCGGCACACAACTTTGACATGTCCAGCAGCAGTGCTTCCAGATGCACATCTGATTGTGTCACTTGCCTGGTTAAACATTCTTCAACGTGTGTCTGATGCCATCACTGTCCTGTAACACGAAGCTCCCACTTCTCACCCTGCGACCCTCACTGGAGAGCCTCTCCAGCTTCCCCTCTCCTCACTCCCTGCCTTGAACTTTGTGCTTCAGGAGCGCTGAGCTGTTTGTAAACCCTCTCCCTCCCCAAACGTCGTGCTGCTTTCCTCCTCCAGCCCTCGGCTCTAGCTGTCCCTTGGCCTGGAATGTCCCTCTGCCTCCTCCCTTCCTTTGCTTCAGTAATATCTCCTCATCATTTGAGATTTCTCATGGGTACCGCCTTCTCCCAAAGTCCTTCCTACATCCCAGGCTGGGTTGGGACTTCCTATACTTTACTTCCAAAACCCTCTATGCCCTTCCCAATTATTTTACTATAGCACTGTGTTAAAATTATCTGTGTATTTTTTTGACTTGCCCACCAGGCTGTGGGATGTGTGTTATTGCAGCTGGATGCTCTGCACCCAGCCCAGTATCTGCACATAGTAGGTGCTTATTAACTGTTTGTTGAATGAACAAGGCAGGAGCGATTGATGGATGTCCCCAGCACCTCTTCTGCCCTACTTGCTCAGGCCCTGCTGTCAACTGGTACTCTTAAGCTGTTACTGTGCTCAGGCCTTTTAAGGCAATCACTAAGTCTTTCCACATGGGCAAAATAATGCTCTAAAAGGCGACAAGCCAAGTGATTCAGGGCTTTTTGTTTTTTGGCCACATTATTTTCTGCTTCACACTTAGAACTCTTTTTGGCATAGTGGAAGTTCTGAGGGAAAAGCAGGCACTGGGAAAATTATTGCCCATAAATGACCTGATGTCAGCAACAGCTGATTCCCACTGTGGGCTGCGGGGTGTAGGAGAAGCCACTGGGCAGAGCTAGCCGACAGCACAGGTAACACATGCAGACGATACTACATGATTGACATCTAACCAGGTGTCAGCAGCAGGCACGCTGGAGTGCCTGTTTGGGGCAAAGTGTGAATGCTGACTCTGTGCAGGCGTGTGACATGGGAACCCCCACACAGCTGGGCTCAAGGAGTTTGTTTCCTGCGAGAGGACCTCCCCTCCACGCTTCTAACAGATCAAAGGTAATATGCCTGGAAATAATTTCCGTCTTGGTTTGAGAGTTCTGTGGTTAAAAACAAAACTACTTGTTTATAAAGAAAGAAAAACATGACAAGACATCTGGGGGCACAGAGGGAGGGAAAGGAGCAACACAGCATGTTTTAATTTAAACTCAGACTCTGTAAAGAGGGTCTTTCAGGTATATCTAATATCCAGTGAAAGTCTAAATTTTGTAAAGATTTCCTCTTTAGAAATAGAATATTCGGGGCCGGCCCAGTGGCGCCGCGGTTATAAGTTCACACCTTCTGGTTCAGATCCCGGGTGCGGACATGGCACTGCTTGGCAAGCCATGCTGTGGTAGGCGTCCCACGTGTAAAGTGGAGGAAGATGGGCACGGATGTGAGCTCAGGGCCAGTTTTCCTCAGCAAAAAGAGGAGGATTGGCAGCAGATGTTAGCTCAGGGCTAATCTTTCTCAAAAAAAAAAACCCCAAAATACAGTATTCTTCTATCTCTGTCACAGCTAAACTCAATACTCACTTTCACATTACCACCTAAAAACCATATTTATGACTGCATTTCAAGAACAGATGTTTCTCTTTATGCCTATTATCTGACCACATGCCATGGCTAGGAGTGGACAGACTCAGGTCTGGGGTGTCTCATTCTTTGGAAAAACATCACCATCTTCATTAGCGTCCTTACCACTTACTGAACACCACCTCTTTGCTTTACATATATAATTTCCTTTCACTTAGCAAGTTTGTAAGGTGTGTATTATTATACCCATTTTACAATTGAGAGATTGCTATCAGGTTAGATGACTTGCTGATGGTCAAATAACTAATACTTTTCACTGCGCTTGTTAAAGCTGGAGAGATGCTAACTAATCACGTTAAAGATACTTGACTTTTTGCTTTTTGGAAGAAAGGATTAAAGCAACAGTCATATACATACTTAGATAAATGGTTTCCCCCCTAAAAACCACCTCCTATTTGCATCTTTCTGTAACGGTCACCTGCAGCTACCATTTTCCTGCCTTGCAACCTCAGATAGGTCAAGCAATAGCAAATATTCTATTCAATTATTTTAGTTGCATTGAACTTATTTTGAGCTTTTTATTTCATTGGGTCACTGTATCTGATTTGTCCCAATTCCTGTTATTTCTTAAGCCTTAGGAGTATTTTGTAGAATCAACACCCATCTTATTCTTTTCCCATGGCTACCACATAAATTCTTTATCCTCAGTTTCTTCATTTGTAAAGTAAAGATAATAGCAAATGCTCCATTAACATCTGTAAGTTAGGGCTAGTAAAAGTATATACCTCATAGGATTTTCTGACCGTTAAGGAGACTAGGCAATGAATAAAGTGCTTATCACAGAGCCTGGCAAATAGCCCCCAGCAAGGGTGCCACAAGTCTAAATGCTTTTCTGTCCAAGGCCTAACCACTGGCCACGTGAGTGGCTATGGAACAAATGAGCTGCGTTTAGCCTGAATTGAGATGTGCTATAGGTATAAAATACATCCTGGATTTCTAAGACTTAAGAAAGACTGTAAAATATCTCAATAACTTCTTATATTGCATGTTAAAATGATAATATTTTGGCTATACTGGTTAAGTAAAATCCATTATTAAATTAATTTCACCTACTTTCTTTTTACTTTTTTAAATTTGCCACTAGAGAATTTAAAGTTAAATACGTGGTTCACATCAGATTTCTATCGGACATGCTGGTGGCTGTGCCTTTCAGTTGTTATCAGTGACCATGACCTATGATTGACTCCACAAAGATAGAAGAGCAATTTTCGGGGTCCCCGGATGTCTCGGGGTGAAGCTGCTCATCTAGGATCAGCTGTCCCTGCGGGCCTCTGTCCTGCTCTGCTCCTCAGCCTCTCACCACCCCCGCCTGAGCTTCCAGAGATGGAAAATTGAGCCAGAGAAATGGATGTCACTACACGGTTCAGAGGGCTCACGCCTGACACGGTGAGGATGTGAGCAGTTTCACTGACGTGTTCTTGTTTAAACTGTTACAAGGGACAGGGGAAGGAAGTGAAAAATGTGTTTTAGCACATAGAAAATTCTGGGGAACTGTGAAAACCTCATTTTAGATAGTATCAACCAGGAGCTTATGCTTCAGCCTGCCCCTACAGTATTTTATCAAGATAAAATGATGTGGGTGGACCATCTTCCCTGTGGTCCACGGAGCACATCCCCCAGTGATTTCCTCACCCACGGCCAGCTGAGGCAGCGTGCACCCCAGACGCTCAGCAATCGGGCACAGATCTTTCAGCTTGTTTTGCTGTTTCCTCCCTTCTTCACTTACGATTCTTTCCTTCAACCACTGGTAGCACTAGGAATAAGAAGAATATTGACATGTTAATGCCTGCTAAGTGTTTGATGTCAAAGATTATTAATGCAATAAAATATAAGAATCTTACGGTGAATTTTTGAATCTTCTTGACTCTGACCTTTGTGTGTCCTGGTGACAAGGGCGCCTGTGCCTTCACACCAAGAAATATTCCCCATGGTCTCGCTCCTTGTTTATTGGTTCAAAACAGATTGATTTTGACTAATATTCACCATTAAAATCCATCAACATGCACAAAACTTGTTAAAGTGCTAACATATAATCGATTATATCTAGTCCTCGAAGTGGAGGAAATGGCAGTTCTTAGTGCCACAGAAATTTTGGAATGTAGCAAGAACGAAAAAAAAATTTACATTTCACCAAAGTCTGTGATGTTTCCTTTTTGTCAGGAAAGCTGGGCGCCAAGCTTTCTACTTGAAGGCATTATCTTATGTCCTCGTTATAACCATCTGCCTCCCTCTTGTCTTCAGTCTCTCCTCGACTCACGTTCTTACAGTGGGGCTTTATTGTTAGCTTTCTCAGCTCCTTCCCAGAAGCAGACATGGTATAACTGAAAGGCACCACGTACGTGTTTAGATTTTAAAGTGGAGAAAGACTTTCCCAAATGTGTATTACCTTTTGTATAATAATTGAAACTTAAAAAGGCGAGGAAACTCAAAATGGGAAACTTTTCTTGAAAACCTATGAGAGGAGACTGACTCTGATTTGTAGACTATAAAGTGAGCCTCATTTCATAAATATAAGGAGAAAAATCTTTTAGAACTTCTCAATACCCTACTTTCCAGAAGGTTCTGCTCTTACTATGAAATGAGGAATAGACTCTTCCATACAAAGCTGGCACAAGCAGCAACACCCAGAGGAAAAGAAGATTAGTAAGACTCTGTTAGTCTGTTTTAGTGAAAATAATAACAACCACCCCACTGTGGGCAGAGCAGACTTTCTCCGTTTGGATTGGCGACCTAATTGCCACCGGTGCTTCTACTTTCCCAAAGGCAGCGGATGCTCCAGCCACATGATTTCAATGGGCTGCTGGCTTGTGTTTTTTAAGTATTTTTTCACTAGTGTAAAACAGTATTTCCAAAGAAAAGGGTAACCACATTATGTTTTATTATAACTTTTGGAATGGTTTTGCAGATGAGAAAAAGAGAAAGGTCGAGCTGCCCCAGTTCAGTTCGCCTCCCAGATCTCCCAGGCTTATGGTCTGGCTTCTCACTTGGGAGTTTGCTTAGGGAGACGGCCAAGAGTTGCCCGGCCTCAGCTCTGGGAAAGCTCAGCTTCTTCCAGCAGGAGGGGTGCCAGTGGTGATGAGGTGGACAATCATGAACAACGAGTACTGTGATGGGGGCCCAGCAGCCCTCCTGCCCAGACAAGCGGGCGGGGTCCATCAGAGAGCCCTGAACTTACTTTTGCTGTCCTCAATGGGAAAAACATCACCAGTCCTCACTTGAGTTTCCTAACATCTGTCAGGGGACCAGTATCTCTGAATGTTATTCAAATGAAAAAGAAAAAGAGGTTGAAAACCAAAAGCCAAGTGCTTTTTGAACAATTGCTTTTTATTATAACTGGGAGAGTTCCTGAGGTGTCCATATATACCACACACATAAAGAATGGCTGATTTATGTATCAATCTTGTGAAACTCCATTTTTGAAATCTTGTTATGTGCAATGCGTTTTTACTCTTAGGATTAGGTTATAAGTTATATGTATGCGTATGTGTATGTGTGTGATGCACATATTGAGCAACAGACTTCTAAAAGTAACAAACATCAAACATTCTATTTATTGAGTCCCTCTTTCCCCACTCCCTCCACTATAAATCTCATTGTTGCTTTAATCAGTGGAAAACATAAACAGGTTAGGGTTTTTAAAAAGTAGATGCATGGTATTTATACTGCTTTCCTCATACCAAAAGAAACAAAAGTATTTTGGAAATAAATAGCTTTAACTGCTTTACAAGTGGGAAAATGTTAGCTTAGGGAGGAGATGAAGCTTGATTAAAATGTTAATTAAATATGGAAGTGAGCCAATGTCTTTTGTAAGAAAATTGGTGGTGGATGTGATTGTGCACAAAAATAAACCCAGCTTGTTGGCCGTGGGCCATAATCCATGAGTCAAAAGATCACATTTCCATGGGGCTGGCCTGGTGGTGCAGTGGTTAAGTGCACACGTTCCGCTTCGGCGGCCTGGGGTTCACTGGTTTGGATCCCGGGTGCAGACATGGCACTGCTCAGAAGGCCATGCTGTGGCAGGCGTCCTACATATAAAGTAGAGGAAGATGGGCACAGATATTAGCTCAGGGCCAGTCTTCCTCAGCAAAAAGAGGATTGGCAGCAGATGTTAGCTCAGGGCTAATCTTCCTCAAAAAAAAAAAAAAGAAAAAGATGACATTTCCTCTTCCAGCCCTCTTGTATGGCTCACCCCGTTGCACTGCAGTGGTTTGATTATGTGGTGATCTTTCTTTCTAACTAAGTGGAAGGCAGGGATGGCTTCTCGTTTGTCTCAACATCTCCAGTCCTGACACAGTGGTTGGCACAGAGGAGGGGGTGGTGAGGAAGGAGTCCAGGAAATCAGGGCTCCACAGGGTGAAGATAAATCTCTTCAATTTTCAGATTGAGTGTGGACACCCCTTCTAATCCGGTACAATTTTGCTGACTGTCCCATGTGACTCCACGATGTTTCAGAATTCCCCCTCTCATGTGTCTGTCTCTCTAGCAAGTCCCTGAGTTACTCCCCGAGGGATAAGACTGTCCCATTCCCGCCTGTATCCTCAGCACTCAGCACAGGGCCCAGCACTGAGCAGCTACTCAGTAAATATTCGCCAAAGGAACAATTGGATGAGCTTCTCTCCCCAGGTTAGTGGGCTATTACCTTTATGCATAAGTCATAAAATTGCCTAAATTTTCCTAACGCCTATTTCTTTGCCATCTTCCAATGCTGTGCCCATTATCTAGGTGACCCCGTTGTATAGGTAATGATACTGGTGTGGGAATAGTCTATGAGACTGGCCCCTAAGCCCTCAGTTGGCTGGTAGTCCTAGATTGGAACCCAGGCAGCAACTATAAAGCCATGGCCAGAATCAGGCACATTTCATCTCTAGACCTTGTTGAGAATAATTTAACATCCAAGATCATTGACTATTTCTATTTAAACACCAAAGGCTTCGGCTCAAAAGAGCAGCAGAGTCTTCACTATTGAGGTTGAAATCTGTGGGCAAAATGCTGGGGCTGAAAACTTTCCCTCTGAAATTACACTATAATGTGCAATACTCTTAGTTTCCTCACGTGCACTCCTGGTGTACTTGCACCGCCCTCTCCCCTGACTTTGACTCATCTAGGTTTGCATGTTTCCTGTGACGGAGGGGTACATAGTTTTGTGATTGCTAACAACAGGGAAGTGCTGCCCATAAATTTCATTGCACTTTTCATTTCTTTTTAAAATTTCTGTTTAAAAGCTACACACCTGTCTCTTGATCAGACTTTGTTGATCTTCTGTTATGGCTATTGCATTCATTAAATAGACATTTATTGAGTAGCTATTATGTGCCAGGCTCTGTAATGAGTTCATGAGTCAGTTTCAGTTTCTGTTCTAGAGGTATTCACACATCGTCCGGTAACTTGAGAAGTGTTTTGCAGTTGGGGTACCCCCTTCAGTGATCTCCTCAGAAGCCATGTTGGTACTGCCTCCTTTTAGAAAGGTGAGCTGCATTACATGAGCTGATCACAGCATCTTATCCTGTTGGCCACTGTCATTGGTCTAACAGGTTGACACATGACCCAAGCTTGGCCCGTCTTCTCTAGACCGAAGCTGATGAAGAGATCTCTTTTCTCACAGGTTACATGCCTTTAAGGACATAAGCTGCCTAAACGGAGAGACCCATTTGCAGTAGGAGAAAGTGACACCCACATGCAGAGAGAAATAGGGGAGAAGGAGAGTCCTGACAAAGTGTGAGTCTCTGGATGGAGTCTCCCCTGAGGCCATCCCCACTCCATCCTTCCCAAGGAGGGCCTATGTGTCCCCCTTCTTTGATTAAATTAGTTTGAATTAAGTTGTATTGCTTGCAACCAGAGAATTCTAAGACTCTGTAAGAAGTGGTTATGGAATAATGGAGGAAGGCGGAAATAACTCAGTTTTATAAAGTGAGAACGGACTTCGCAGAGGTGAAGACAACCAAACTTTGTCTTTCGAGATGAGGAGAGCTTCTACAACAGAATGAAAAGAAGGGCGTTTCTGGGAGGCAAAAGAGAGTACAGTGCATTTGGGTGGAAAATGAAGTAATACGATATGGAGAGAAACAAGAATGGAAAAGTGGGCTCAGGTTAGATCCCAAGGGTATTTCCTTGGATGTTTTTCTGTGGGGTTTGGGTTTTGTCCTATAAGCAATGATTGGAAAGTCATTAAAGGATTTGAAGTGGGGTTATGATATGGTCAGTTTTATCTTTTACAAAGATAGTTGATCACAGTAGTGGGTAGTTGAGAAAAGGGGGAAAAATCAGTCCAGTTGGGAGGTTCCTACAGCAAACCAGGTAAGCAATGACGAGGATGTGAACAAGGGCAGTGCAGGGGATGGACCTGAGAGGGTCAGCATGTGGACTGGAGGATTTGGTGCCCTGCTGGACAAGAGTGAGGGAGGAGAGGAGGCGGTCTGGGATAATGTCTTGGCTGCTGACTGGGTTGACCAGATGGAGGGGTAGAGGAATGTTAACCAAGAAGGAAGGGCAGGTTCTGGGGAGTGAGGAGAGATTCCAGTAGGCATCACTAGTGCCCATGGGGCAGCTGTTTGGAGATGCCTGATACATAGGAAGAAGTAGTGGTGTTTAGCTCGGCAGTGAAGCCAGAGCTGATGACACTGATTTAGAAGTCATCATTACCGTGGTAGGCCAGATGCAGGCTCCCAGGAACCCTCTCGGGGAATACCACTTTCTACAGGATAGGTATTTTTCACATTGGCTTAATTTGTCCTTCAAATACAGTTCAATATTTACAACAGACACAAAGCATTACCATCTTTATTAGTATAACTTGCAACAGCCAATGTGAAACCCCAACCATTTATTCTGTTTTGGGAGAGGTGAAAGTTGCCAACTTATTTATCTGCGTACTTGCCTAGCTCTCTATCTTAAAATTTTTTTCTTTACTGTTAGGGTGCTCATTCATTCTTAAAGTTGCCCTGACCTTTGCTTTGTTTTTCCTTTGGTTCCTCTGCTCAAGTGGCTTTTCTAAGTACACACAGATTAGCCTGGAAAACACTCAGGCTGACGACTTAGGAAGGGCGCCCCTGACTGGCCGCCTTTCACGTGTTGAGAGCCCTTAATGTTTATTGTTAAGGATGTTTCAGTAGATGGTGAGTTGACTTTATAAAACTTAACAGCAGAAATATTTTCTGAGTTGCTTTTGGGTTTAGCCACCTTCAAATATTTTGTATCTCCTTTTTTTACTTTCTTCTTTTGTTGGTGCCTTTGTGAAAGTTTTTTCAGCTGTTTGTGAGCTTTTCCCAAACAGTGATGGAGGGCAGCCAACCATACACTCCAAATACAGGATAGCTGCTTTTTCCTCCTCTAAAAGCCTAGGTTTGAAGCAAGACAAAAGTGTGTTTGCGGAGATAAACAGAGAGCCAGGGGACCTGGGTTCTAATACCAACTTTCTCTGTTGTGAATTTATGCTCTTGGATTATTGTCTAATCTCTTTGTGCTCAGTTTCTGCCTCTGGAAAAGGCTTACCCTCTTATAAGGACAGTCTGAGAAGAAATCTCGGCATATATGGAAGTACTTTGAGTTTTTCAGAAAGTCTTTGAAAGATTGCGAGGGACATGCTTACCTACAACTGACCAAAAGCCATCTGTATCTGCTTGTCTTTGTGAGGATCAAAGGAGACGATAAAGACACTTTGCTCCGAGCCTGGCCCGCAGAAGGTGCACAGGACAATCACCATGGCCAACGCTTCCCTTCCTTCGTTCCCCTCTTCTTGCCTTCCTCCTTTTATACATTCTTCCCTAAGATGCTTTTCATTTTTCCTTGGTGACTTATTCAGACCTGGTTCAGAATAATCTTCAATTTTTCAGAAGCAAGACCATATTTAATATTTTAGGGTAATTATATTGTGTGATAATGCAAAACTAGAAACAGAACAACGTCACCGGGTTTTAGGAGATATTTCTATTATATCATTTTAGAAAACAAAAAGGCTAATAGATCAACTGTTACAGGGGGAAAGGAAAGTGACAGACCCAGATCCTGAGAAGGTTCTCACTAGGGAGCCCAGGGCGGTCCCAGCCACACCCGGCAGATGTGGGCAGTGGGAGCCTCCTGGAGGGTCCTCTCGCTGACTGCACTGAGGGCGCAGCCAGGTCAGACTTCTGTGTCCTCAGCGGCCTTTGCCTGGCGTGAATTTGAAACATGCCTCTAGTCTCTCTCCCTTGATTACAGAGTAACTTGTGATTCTAATGTTACTACACATTCTCTCAAGTTTTTAACAACAGACAAGTTATTAATAAGGAGAGATGTTTGGAGTGCTCTCCAATAAATTATTCATCAAGATGCTCTGGATGGAGGTAACTTTGGGTCACTGACCTTGAACATCTTCATGCTCCAGAGAAGAATGTGAGCTACAGGACTCAGTGGCCGAGGCCCTCTCTGAACGCCGCCTTGAGCCCCAGGGACAGAGGCTGGGCTCTGATCTGCCTCGCCAACCCTCCTCCCCATGCCCACCCCACACAGTAAAAGCACCAGCCAGCCTCAAACTGTGCTCAGATAGAAGTGGTTTGCCCGACATGGATTAAACTTCTATGGCTTAAATTTTGTTTTGTCAAGAAAGGTAAAATTAAATCCTTTTACATAAAACAGTCATTTTATGTTGCGTTAGTTTCAAAGAAGGAATGAAATGCCGTCTTTAATGGAAGAATAAATAATAGTGTAGGGATTTGAGCCCTACGAGTCCAAGCAGGTCACTGGGTATTTCCCGCCAGTCCCCAGAGAAGATTCCCTGCCGCCGATTATGAAGGACTGACTGACGCCTGGCCGGGAGGAGAAACCTCTGGAGGGCTCAGGAGCCTGCCAGAGGACACCGGCCAGGGCAAGGCCACGGCCACACTCTGCTGAGCCCGAAGCCACAGGCTGCTGCAGAGCTGTTCCCTTTAATCTTCCTTCCCGCTTCCCAGCCTCGCTCCCGTCCCGACTCTTTCCTAGAAGTGGAGGAAAATACCTTCAGTGAAGCCCTGGAACTTTCAGGCACCCCGTTTCCATATTTTCCTGAGATGATCCCACAGGCAAGAGGAGACCATGTCATTGCTCCAACTCCTACAGAAGAAAAAAATGTAAAAAGTTGCTTGTACAAACTGGGATTAGGTGTGGGGGTGTTTAAATGGACTTGGTTAGTTATGGAAAAACCTGGCCAGATAAATGAGTTAATACCAGCGTACATCTTTTCATTAAAATTTGGGCATTCACAAATTGTGCTTCATTTTTATTAATGAGTTAAAATGTACTGTTGGTTATAGGGAGTGGACCATATACACAAGCCTGAAAATGTGGCTCATCCATGATTTCCTGAAGTCCCCAATTCACATTTCTTTTTATACTTGGACACAAACACTTCTACTTGCACAGAAATTCAGCGCTTTGCTGGTCCACTCGGTTCCCAAATAGTGCCCATCCAGAGCACGGGTATGAGGGCTGGTGCCCAGCCCACGCAGTGGGTGACAGCCATAATAACTGTTGTCATTGTTGGTGTTGAATTCTTTTTTCCTTCTGCCCTTACCCAGCATTTTCTGCTCAGGTGAACCTCTATTTCTTAGGAAGAAAGTTATCTCTGGAAACTGTTTTGGTGAATAAGCCTGAAAATGTGGCTCATTCATGTTTTTCTGATGTCCAGAATTCTTGCATATATGTTGCCTATCTATTTCTTCCCTCTCTTTGAAACCATTATGTCTACCTACACACACACGTCATGCCTGGCTTGTCAGTCGATCTTCAATTCTCCCTGACTCAGTTCCAGGCACAGAGCAGGAGATAGATGCATATGTCTGTAATCTTTTGGAAAGGCACCCTAATCCACTGGGAGATGCATGCTTTGGCTAGAGCAAGCACCTTATGAAAAATGAGTTTATTCACTGTCTCCTCCCTTCGTTCTATGCACATTCTTTGAACCCCTACTGAGTACATGCCAGTCATAATTTACAGCTCTGCTTGGCTTTCATCAGTGGGACCCTGCAGATGCATACAGGCACATTCGATTCTTCTCCAGTCTCTGGAAGGCAGAGTTCTTCCAATCCCTACGTTAATTAGGGACATTAGGAAGGCATTTCATAACACTGTTTCCCGGATCGCTGATGCTCCTATGGTTAAGAATAATCGGTACATTTGATTGTGAAGATTACCTATCTTATGGTAGAGTTCTGGGAGCTGAACCTCCACTTTCTCCCTCTGGAAAAGATGGTACTCAGCTTGTTCACAGACGGGTGGGATCATATTGAACTGTCTTGCTACGGAATAGGCTTCCTAGGGAGAAAGAAGATTGCAAGTGAATTTATACTGAGGAGAAATAAGGCTGCCCTGGGGTTCATACGCATGAAAAATTTTCATTTTAGTGAAATCAGTACAACCAACAAACATGTAGGATGCAAATAATAAGCGAAGTTGTGACCATCAGTTTCACTAAGAGCAATACCAAGTGTGGGAATTCTTCATCATTCTTTGGGAGGGTTTGGACTGAGTAAAGTCCAGGGCAAATTAGTCAAAGTGTGAATTGTGGACTGTTATAAAGAAAATGTAGTTTGACTATTTTTAGGTTCCTAAAGAAATAAAACTTAGACTAATATATAGAAATAATCTCTCACTAGCATGTTATAAACAGCATAGTTAATCCAGTTTAAGGAGAAAACTAGAATATTCTCTTCATGTATCCCATGTTCATATATCTCATTGGCTGGGAAATTCACTTTACCCTCTTGCCACCAAAGAACGTGCTGAAACGTGATTCCTATTGGAGACCTGCACCCCCTGTACTGCGAGCTGATGAGATCCAGCCCCCGTATCCATCTCTATAATGATGGGTTGATCATGGAATTCCAGAGCCTTAGTGGTTGTGAGGAAAGTTTGCAAAACATCTTGCAATTTACACGTGGTATCTGAGAAACAACAACAGGTGCTCAATGGCCGTTTGAAAATAGCGATACATTTACCATGATCTCCATGGCACTCCACCGCGAGGTTCCCCAGTACATGGCCATCCCTTGGTTTATCACATGCGTCATGGCGCGAACTATTTCTGTGGAAGGCCAAACAGACAGCATTTCCTGAGTTTCTCTACTTTCTCAAGTTACGTGGTCTTATTTTCTGCCTAGAATTTAGAAATTTAATGCAATTATTTGTTCGACTAACGTAATTGCTTTGACATTGGTGACAGCATAATAGTCTAACATGAAATATGGATGGTTTGGAGGCTGATGGTACTTTTGGGTAAACAGACTTTCCATTTTCAGTTTGCAGCAAAAATACTAAATGATATTAAAAACATGCTGACCACTTTAGGTTCTTCCTTGACTTTTATTGCTTCGTGGTTCCTGGCCTGAAAAAGAATACAGTATTAACCTCTTTCAGAGCCTGGGGACCTTGCTCCCTAAAGTAAGAAGTGAGAGAAAGCATTTATTTTGACTTTGTAGCATGTAAGGTTGTTGAGGATAGAAGGCCTGTCTTTGTGTGTTGGATTTGCTGAGCTGGGCCTCACACAGGGCGGCTGATTAACAGAGATGACTCAACGACAATGTGTTTAGCAGAAAGATAAACATATTAAATGCTGAGCAAACAGCTGAAGCCACAGTGGCTCCCAGCCCACAGTGGCACACCCTGTCCTTGACCACTTTGAACCAAGCTTTATTCTAAGACACCACGTAATGGATTTCACCAGGGCCTGCTCGTGGCCACACCCGGCTACTCACTTGCCTCTTTCAGCCTGACATCATGTTTCCTAAACAGGAAAATGAATCTCTTCCCCAGAAGGGTGGAGCTGAGCTAACCCTCTTGGCACCAGCCAGATGTCATGCAGAACCAGGGAGCACAGATGGCCTCAAGTCAATTGAGTGACAAGTCGCAGACACGGTTGGATTTCTTCTGCAAAGCAGGTCAGCTAAGCACCTAGGAGGCCAGGCCATCTGACAGCTTCCAGGGGTTGCAGGCCTCCAGCTTCTCTACGTCCCACTGACACCTGTGGGTAAATGTCCTTCAGAAGAATCAAATCTTTGTCTCAAAGTCGAATGGAGGCAGATGTATTCTTAATTGTTTCTCAGGGGCAGGCAGTGTCCACACGGCTAGGGGACGGGATTTGGAATGACACAGCAGGGTTAGGGCTTAGCCTGCCTGCTTGTTTGGCTTGTGTAAGCCACTTTAAGTGGCCCTCAGCTGCTTTGTTGGAAGAAGAGAATGCTTTTACTCACCCTTGCCTGCCCAACAGAGGTAGAATTTGGCTTATAAGCAAAATATTTTTCTTTCTTGGAGAAAGACGCCCAAATATTGGATTATTACTCAGAAACTAAAACTATGAAGTTCATTCTCCCTTTATGAAAAAGATGAGGTACGAAAAGTTATATGAAACACTTTTTTCTTTTATTATACAAGTGGAAATGAGTGCCTATGATCAACATTTCTGCAAGTTGGAAGCCATTATTTAAATTTCTGCCCAGAAGTTCTCTCGGACATCTGCATCAGGCCACCAGCTCCGTTTCCTTCACATCCTGTTTCACTCAGGGCTGAGGGCTTCATCCGGTCAACAGTGTTTAGGAAGCGTTTGTGTGCGGGGTGCTGGGGGCGTGGTGATGAATCAAGCATGTTGGGAAATGCTGACAAGGTTAACAGAGAATAAACTGAACCCAAGACACTCCCCCATCTCTACCCTGCAATCAAGTAAGATGAGCAAAGAACACTGTCCAGTGGCCCAGCCACGTGGATGTCACTGAGCCTCGACAAGAGCACTTGAGGTGGAGTGGAGGTTGTGACTCTTCCTGTACCTTCATTCAACACACACAAGCCGAATATTTGCCAGGCACTGTGCCAGTGGCTGGGTTCATCTGTGAATAAAACAGATACAAAGCTTCTGAGCTCAGGGAGTTTGGAGTTGAGTGGAGAAGATGGAGACGTAGACAAGTAAGAATAAAATGTGAAGTGTTGTGAAGAAAACAAATAGGGGGCTGAGATAGGAAATGAGAGGGAAGACCTATTTAGTTAGGTCAGTGTTTAGATCTAAAAAATAAAAAGGAGCATGCCATGTGAAGAACAGGGAAAGCGCATTCTAGGCAGATGGAACAGCATGTATAAAGGCCCTGAGGCAGGTAGAGCTTAGTGAGTTCCAGCAATCAGAAGGAAGCCATTGTGGCAGCAGCCTAATAAAGAAGGAGGCCAGAGGTACGGGTGAAGTTGGCTGAGCGCAAACCAGTTGTTCATATACTATTCAAAGTTCAAAGTTTATTGGGGGGCCCGGCCTGGTGGTGCAGCGGTTAAGTTCGCATGTTCCACTTCTCAGCGGCCCAGGGTTCGCCGGTTCAGATCCCAGGTGTGGACATGGCACTGCTTGGCAAGCCATGCTGTGGTAGGCGTCCCACATATAAAAAGTAGAGGAAGATGGGCACGGATGTTAGCTCAGGGCCAGTCTTTCTCAGCAAAAGGAGGAAGATTGGCAGCAGTTAGCTCAGGGCTAATCTTCCTCAAAAAAAATAAAACTTTAATGGGAAGTCATTAAGATTTCTTAGATAAGGGAATGACAGGGTACAGCTACATTCCACAGCACTGTCTCTGATTTGACTGTGCTGTGAGAGTGGGTGGAGAGGGAGAGGAGGCAGGAAGCAGGGAGGTCTTTAGGAAGGAATTGTGGTATTCCAGGCAGATGAGGCAGCCTGGAACAGGGTGCTGGTAGTAAAGACAGAGACGTGGATAGATTCCAAATGTATTTTGGAGGTCGGCTCCATACGATTTGCAGGTGGACTGGGAGTGGTAGGTAAGGGGCAGGGAGGAGTCAGGCTCCCTCCCAGAGACCTGGCTGTTCCCAGAGGGGAGGGAGGCAGGGAGGAGCAGGTTTGGGGAGGGAAACCAAGAGTTCCTCCTTGGACATGCAAAAAATGGAGATGCCTGTGAGATACAAAGGGGAGATGGGGAGGAGAGAGAGGTGGAGAAGTGACACGGGGAGCAACCTAATATTAATATATTAATGTCACGAGACTACTGATTGTACTTAAGTTCGCAGAAGTGGATGAGACTATATAAGGGGAGTCTGCAGAGAGAAAAGAGAGGTTCTCCAAGCCAGCCCCGGCCTTGGAGAGAGGACACTGCAGGCTTCTGGGTCGGCAGCAGCCAGACGGGCAGGAAGGAGCCCAGGGGCGCGGGAGGCTTCAGAAGCAAGAGCAGGGAGGGCGGCGAGGAGGAGCGTGCCCAGACTGCAACACCGTGAGCACTGGAGGGCACAAAGCGCGTCCACTGGAGTGGGCCACGTGTCTGGGAGTCCCAGCAGACCATGAGAAGAGCAGTTTCAGTGTCGGAGGTGCCACGGGACCGAGGCCCGGCTGGAGCAGAGGGAAGAACGCCTGGGTCGGGAAGCCTTTAGAGACAATTGGAGACAACCTGGGCAGACTCGAGTTTGGAAGTGAACGGGGCAGAGAGATAGGGCAGTAGCTGAAGGGTCCTTAGGGCCAAAGGAGAGTTTGATGTTAGAGATGGGAGAGGTAAGAGCAAGCCTGTGACCCTGTGAGTGAGCTAGAAAGAGGGAGTTACTCATGATCCGGGCTGGAGGCTTGAGGAAGAAGGGAGACTTTATAAACGAGACAGAGCGAAGCACCTGTGCGGTGCAAAGGTCACTCCACGGAGATGGTGGGACCCAGGGAGGTTTGTAGAGCTCATCATGGGAGGATGAATTCTATTCTCAATAAACCATCATTCAAGTGAAAGAGGCGAGTGTGAGAAGTGAGGAAACGGTGAGAACAAGTCGTTCGGACGGGAAGAGCCTGCGCGGGACACTGCAATGCCCCGGGGACTCCAGTTGCTGGTAATTTCCCGCTCTCTGACTCGCTGGGCTTCTGACTGCACGGAAGGGCTTGGTGGAATGCGGAAAGGAGCACTCAGGAGAAAGCCTGGAGAAACTGCGGGAGGCCCGAGAGGCCCGTCAGAGATTCACGTGGCATGGTTTTGACGCATATTGAATTTGTTTATTTTTTTTTTAATGTCAGAGAAAAATTCCCCAAGTTGTTCAGCTCTAGGAGGAAATCGCCGCCCTGATGGCTGAGGTGGGTTTTTACGCGATTCTACTGTTTAAGACCACTAGGGGGCAGCATTGTCGAAAGAAAAAAATCAACTGAGTCCGGAAGGTGGTGGTCTGCTGGTGTCTGGTGGAAACACGTTTTCAAAGCATCCTAGTGAGAGCATGGGTTCCGGGTGGGGAAGAGGACAGGAGGAGGGCCACCGAGTGCACTGCCTTCACCTGCCTCTGGGGGAGGACACGCAGAGGAACGTGATTAAACCGGCAGCCCCCGACTGGACTGAAGGAGAAGCCGGAGCCGCAGGGGTTCTCAGCCCGGCCTGAACCTTACGTTCCCTGGGGAGCTTTGAAAACCACGCTATACGGGCTTCAACGAAGTTCTGTTGTATCAGAGTCTCTGGGGTGGGGCCCCGCATCAATACTTTAAAAACTCATCCCAGATAATTCTACTGTGCAGCCAGGGTTTAGAACCACTGTGCCTGCCTACACTGATGGTCCCAAAGTGTGGCCCTGGACCAGCAGCAGGGGCAGCCCCTGGGAACTGGTTAGAAACGCGAATCCTAGGGCCTTACTCCAGACCTACTAAAAGAAAGCAGCCTGTTTACCAGCCCTCCAAGCACTTGTGGCACAGAGTAAAGTTTGAGAACCACTGCTATTCCCAAGTAAGCCATTTCAGGGAGTGTGAACTTCCCCCCACATTTCCTCTTCTGCTCTTTCGTCTAATCTAAATGCTTCATACTATAATTCAACCTTTTAGTTATTTGCTTTAGTACATATGCAAATAGTCACCATGACATGCATGCATGTGCACACACACACACACTCTTTGGTATGAATCGGAATTCGATGAAAATGCAGAGGTCCCAGTCCCAGCCCGCTGCACTGAGGCTGGTCCTTTGTATTATTTTCATCAGCTCTCAAAGCTGAAGGTTTGAGAAACACTGTCTAAACTATTGAAGAACTTCGTCAGCCTCTGCCCTCCTTTCCAGGTTGAAATAATGGTTCCGTCAGCTCTCGCTCATTCCCCGTAC